AAGTCCGCCCCCTGCAGGTGATGCTATTGCATGCGGTCGGTCTGCAGCTGCTGGGGCTGGTACTGGCCGAAGGCAGCGGCGGCCGCGGCGGCCGAGCCGGGAGCGGCAGCGGCTAGGGGCTGCTGGACGGCATAGCCGTAGCTGGCGGGGGCCACATAGCCAGTGGCAGCGGGCGAGGCGGCGTAGGGATACTGCTCGTATGCGGCGGCAGCGACGGCAGCGGCCGCGGAGTACTGAGCATAGGCAGCGCCCGCGTAGTCGATGTACGGGGATGAGGTGGCGGCCGTGGCAGCGGCCGGCTGCACGTGCGGGATCACCACGCTGGGCTGCACAAAGGCCTGCGGGTAGACATAGTGCGCTGGGATCCTGCGAGACAGGACAAGAGGCTCAGTCAGTCGCCACGGTAACAGCACCACGCCTCCCGGCAGACGCCATTCAACAGCACCCAGGAAACTCCATCCAGCTGTTATTAGATTTATAGGGTTGCCAAAATAGAGATGATAAAGTGAAGATAAAACAGCAACTATGAAGAGTGAGATCCTCATGTCAGCGATAACGTTTTGGTGGGGGTGGCTACTGGGTTTGGCTATATTGGATGCTGTGCTGCTGTGGCAAAGCCAGCAGTGAAGTCAGCTGACCTGACGTGACAGTGTCAGCCCAGTGAATCTCACAGCGTGGGTGAGATACGGATTGTGCCATGGCCTAACGGGGGAGGGGGGGGAGGGGGTTGGATTATTGTATCTTCTGTGACCCCCCCACCCCCACCCTCAGCCACCGAGGCACGCACCGAGGTGTGTGAGGGGAGGAGGGGGGCGTTAGGGAGGTGTCACTGCCATTTTGACAGCTGGACAATTTTCAAAAAGGACTTTGATGCACCCACATCCAGCCTCACCCCCCCCCCCCATTGAACTCTGACAAAGGGCATCTGGCTGGACAGTGCAGAGGGAAGGGATTTTTGATTAAATAAGTGGTCAGGAACAAAGAGAACATTCTCCCTTTGGTTACGTATGCGGTCGGACCTCCCGGCCATTTTCGGCTTCCTCTCCCTTTTTGCTGCCCCCCCCCCCAGCACAAGCCCGGCTGCCTCCAAAATCTCTCACCTAAACTGCCTCCGCTTAGATACGTCATTTGCTAATCCAAGGAAACAATATCAGCTTTTCACTGCAACAGACTGTTGTAGTAGTAATGACAGCTGAAGCTTTTCTTATTGTTATTACCAGGGATTGCTGATGACCAAGGCTGAGCCACGCAGAGGCTGCGGGAGCAGAATCAGATGTGTTAAGAGAGTCAAAGGCTTCAACACTGGCAAATAGAGAGGAGGAGGAATCTCTCACAATTCACTGGTTTTGGAAAGAATGTTTAAATTCCACTCTCATTCCAATTGGCTGTAAAAACAAGTGTTTTTGAATTTTTAAGGAGGGGGATAAAAGTCTATCATGGCAACCCTACTTTCAGCACTCCCAACCCAAATACAAAAATGACCCCAAAATAAATTAACAAGAAAAAAAAAAAAATACAAATGCAGGCGTCACAAAAAAATGTCAACTCAGTCCACAAGTGTCATCACAGCATAACCACTCATTGAAAATAAAAAGGGAAAAAAATAAATAACTCTAGTGCAGCTCTCACTCAGGTCAAAGGTCAAAGGTCAAAGAAGCTCCTATGACACGCCGCATAGACGCCTGGGTGCCACACTGCTGTCACAAGACAGTTACAGTCACAACGTGAGCTGGTCACACAGCACGACACGACACACTGCGGCCCCTTGGAACACAGAGGCTGCTGACATCCACGAACACAGTTAAAACATTATCCTCTTCTTCACGCGCGCACACACTCAAACACACACACACACCTTAAATAAAAAATTTTTAAAAGACACATGAGACACGGCACAAAAGGTGTCCCTCTGGGGTGCAGTTTAGAACACACTTACAAAAAAAGTATAACAAGATATTTCGACATGTAATTGCCATCCAGGTTTGCTTACATTCTCTTCTCCATCCGTCTTCCGCAAGTGCAGAGATACGGACGACAGGTAAGGAGATGAGGGCCAGGGGTGGGGTGGGGTGGAGGGGGGGTGGGGGGGGAGTGGACAGGGCCAGGCCAAAACCAGACAAAGCGAGGCGCAGTGCTTGTTAGAATGGGAGATCTCCACCGAAAGCACTTCGCCAGTGTGTTAATGTCTGCACAGTACAAAGGGAGTGGTTCCTTCACCATGAAGCCACCTTCCCTGTGCTCATGCAGGCTGCAAACGTCAGCTGCGACTGTAATGCATGAAGACCAGGTTCATACCTTGGTCTGGTGGTGCGATTCTGCCTCACTTATCAGGGCAGACTTTGGGATTTGGATTAGGATGGATTAGAAATAAGAGGCTTGATTCTGGCTGAAAGTGAACAGCTTGTATGTTTTGAGGTACCTGTTGTCTTTACGAAACAGCCCTAAGTTTACACACACGCGCGCACACAGAGCAGAAACCCAAAACCTGCAGCCCGCGGCCTGACTGTCCCTGAGTGACAGGAAGGACTGCAGCCCGGCTATTTTCTGCTGCCCTCATCTTTCTAAAAATGGCTTCCAGTTGCTGTGAAAGGTCAAGCCGGCCACGTTCCCATCATCTGTGGGCATCTCCTGGAAGAGGTGAACTTTTCCATTCCCCCCTTGCTTCCTCAAATCCCCCTGAATGCCTACCAGCTCTCATTCTACCTACCATCTACCAAACCCCAACCCACAGTGTCATGGTGTTCAGGCAGCTTGCGTGGAACGCCTGTTACCCATCTCAAAAGAAGGGGGAGGGAGGGAAGCAGGGAGGGAGAGAGAAAGAGAGAATGTGCCAAACCCATGAAGATCCAATAGCAGGTCACCGACACGCGTTCAGAGAGCCAATGGCTGATGCTGGAGTGTCACGAAGCCCAAACGGCAGCGAATGACATTCCCCCAGGCAGCGTCTCCCCGACTGCCAAGGAGGGGGGCTTCTCAGTAAAATTAAAAATACTTCTGTCACTGTGTTGCTCCACGTAGCAGAGCAGTTTGTGACTCAATATAAACAAGTTCTCTCTGTTCCAATCCCCCCCCCCCTCCAGCTCACTCCGTGGTCCTTAAAGTTCAGCACTAAATAAAGGTCTTTGTCAGCCACTCGGGTCTGTGGGCGACCTCTGCGAAGTGAGGAGGCCCACCTGCCCAGCGTGCCATAGAAGCGGCAGAGCTGCCCTAGCAGGCCCACTCGCGCGCGGGGGCAATGGCGGAGCCACCGAGACCGTTACATGTATCCTGCAGCATTTCAGACGTGCTTTAAACCCCCCCCCCTTTGTCGTTTGGACCCACCACGCGTCACCCCATGCTCCCCACCGGACTCCGACCCTGCACCGTCAGCACTCCCAGCTTTGTGTGGCACAATGGAGCGGTTTGTTTTTGTAATGACGCGGCCCATGTGACGAGATCTTACTTGGGGAGGAGGGGGCCAGAATGCCAGTTTGCACAGCTATGGGAACCCCCCCCCCCCCCTCTACATCAGCGGGCGTTCATGTCTCACCGGGATTGAACAAAAACAAACCCAAAAACAACAACACGAACAAACGCACAAACAGACGAAGCTGCTGGTGGCTGCATCAAAGGGCCACTGTTCGACGCTCCATCTCTCTCCACAATGCCAGTTTCTCCCCCTTCACCGAATTCCCCACCCTGTAAAAACGGTCTTCCTGACATCTGCAGTCAGCCACAAAGAGAGACAAACAATACACATATAATGCAAAATATTAGGGCTTAACCAAACAGGCTACCCCAGGCACTCAAGCATGGAACTCGCTCACTCTCCCACAGTCCTGTCAAAGCCCTGCTTGGCCCATATGCAGAGCGCCTGGACTTTTTCTCTGCTACAGCAGTAAACCATCTAAAGAGTCCCATATAGGGCTGAGAGCAGTAGACTACTGAGGAAGCTACGAGAGAGAGAGAGAGACGGTGAAAGGAAAGTCGGGGGGAGAGGGGGGAGAGGGGGTTGGGAAGAGCACTGTGATCTGGATTCTTAGTCATTGGTTAATATAACACAGATCAAGCCAATTTCAAAAATAAAGATGGGGAGACCGCGGCATGCAAGCATTGAGTTGTTGGGTTTTGGGGGGGGGGGCGGGGTTGGTTCACACAGGGTTTGGGGTTTGCACTCACTCAACGACAAGACATCAAATAAAATATCTTGTTAAATTGGAAAAAAAAAATTACAAAAACAAAAAAATCTTGCAAGCTAAAGCACGAAAGCATCAAATCCAAAAACAGCCTTTGCTCCCCCTGCAAAGTCAACACTCCTGCACAAATCCAAGGAATTAAAACTAGAAAAGGGGGGGTAATGATACAGAAATAAAAAATAAATCAAACCTGCAATCCAGCTGTTTCATTAAATAAAGCACACAGTTTAGCTATCAAACAGCACTTCATTTTGGTAAAAGCACACACAGCTCTATTGACTATCAAAACAATGAAAAAGAAAAAACCAGAAATCCAACATACATGCATCTTTAATCACCATTTGAGCTCGTTTGTGTGCGTTTGAGTTTACTGGTAACGCTTTTCTGATCTGTGCAATGCGGTCTCAGCTATTCCTCAAACCACCCGTTATCTTAACCGTAATCGACCCTGTCGGACCAGAGAGAGACAAGAGTCTATCAGGATGGAGAACGGGTAAGGACCAGTGCACTCACGCCTGCGCACGGGGAGAAGAGACGCGTGGTTAGGGTAAATCGCCGGAATCCAGGAGAAATGCATTCTAACTATCCAAGGCAAACATCTCAGTACAAGCTAATGAACAGCAGGCTGAACTGTTAAGGTATATGAGGACTGAGAAGACTTGAACATACATATTCTACATCTGTACATGATCATAGGTATTTGGCGTTAAGGAAGCACCGTTACTTACCCATAAGGCCGCTGTATGAACGCTGGGTGGATCTGGGGCACGCCAAAGGTGAAGCCTACACACAGACGAATCACAGGCACGTTCACCTTCATAGCAGGTGCGCAATTCAGCTCCAAGATGTGAATGAAATCATCATACGGTCCGATAAATTAGATAGACAGATATCGCACTCTAAAGTGCACACCAATGCAAAAATCGCCTCATGTTCCATGCAATACTGCCAGTTGTGGATTGTGCAATAATTGAGCGCATCCAGTCGCATGATTTGTTTATGGTACATTTGCAGCATAACCTGAGGATTAGTAATATGCGCCTTGCATGTATGTAGTTGGTGAGCCTACACGGGAGCAGCCATGTGTCACTATATCTGTTGGGGTCATGCCACACTATTGCAAAAACAACAGTTCAGCCATGTTGTGTTGTGATCCACACACAGCCCCCTTACCTGGCTGCATCACCCTGGGCTTGGCTCCTAGGTACGCCAGGTTAACATTCGCCTTCCTGCCATCAATGATGGGATTGGGGTCCTTGCAGGCCCTGTCTGCCGCAGTCCGGTCCGCCATCGTCACCTTGGGGAGGGATAACAGTGAGGACCCCCGCAGATCACTGCTAACAGCCAGCACATCCCATCTCCAGCCACAAAACAGAGACCAACAGCAGCAGCGCTCCATGTAAACAGAAAGAACAGGAGTAGCACTGCGCTATAAGTAGACGTGTTAACAGCTCAGACTCAACATAAACGCATACTAAGGATGGCATTTGTTGATCCGATCGAATAAATCTATGTTGAGAAGCGGGTCTGAACAATTAAGCCAGACTTTCCATCAGTGTGCCTGGGGGAGAAAACGGTGGAAGTGCTAAACAATTGGGCGTTGAAAATTACACACACAGGTCAGACACCTGTTGTCGACAAAGCTCCACTCCGCGAAGGTCTTTTCATTTTCACTTCCACCCCCATTGGAAGTGTTACTTCCAGCCACCTGCTTCGGCAATGTGCGCGATCACGAATTAGAGTGAAAGCCAGAAAAGTGCTGCAAGAAATACTCCGGGAAGAAACAGAAAGCTGCTCTCTCAAATAGCACACAGTATTAATTACCGCAGCCCAACTCTTCCCATCACACCCAATTCGGCAACTTTGCGACAATCACGCACATTTGACCACTATGATACTTTCGCAGACGACAAAGCAATTAAACCATGACAGAATAAGAAAACAAAACAATCCAACTCGCAAAAAAACTGTCACATTCATATGACCGTTTCACTCCACACGTCTGTATCTGTTTTTATTTGCCTACTTAAATGCTTTAGGCTACCATCAAGCTAAAAACGTGCCCACTATTTTACATATATTCCTTAACGACAAACCAACATCATCAGCTAAGAGAAAAAAAAACGGATTATCTTCTTGTAATAACGGTGACGCCGGATTAATCTAAAGTCGTATTATGCCACCAAGTTTTTTTAAATGGAAAAGCAGTACTTACGAATCCATAACCCCTGGACTTGCCGGTCTGCCTGTCGGTAATTACAACAGCCTCCTCGATTTCTCCGAACACCTCGAAGTATTTCCTGAGACTGGAGTCCGTGGTGTGGTACGGAAGACCTCCTACAAAGATCTTGGTATAGGTTGTGTCCTTCTGCGTGGTGTGCATGTTCGCCAACCGTATTTAGTGCAAAAACAATGTCAAGATCAACAACAAAAATAGTGCAACAATTCCTAAAATGATTATTAAATTATCAATATTCCTTAAACCGGACACGATTCAGAAACATGAGACTGTAAAAAAAATCAAATAAAACTGGAAGATGTTCGAGGTAGATCAGCTTTTTCACTGTATTGATGGGAAATGAGCGGATTGTCCGAGAGAACAACAAGTGTCCGCAACTCGCATTCGCCACTTTTCGGAAACTAAGCGGCGAGCTTGTGACCCATTACTAAATGTGCTCCCAGTAACTCCACCCCAGAGCAGCGAGGGAGGGACTGGGCGCAGATTCCTGCCCACCCACTGCCGCATGCCCATGCAAAGAGCCGGGAAACGCCAGCCGCCCCCGTCAGGGCCACACTGGAAAGTGGAAAAAGTAGCCGCAATAATAAAGAAAATAAATGAATAAATACAAACGTATGCACTAAAGACTTAGTGTATCTATCTATCCTTGTTTCCAGTTGTGCTGCGTCGTTTTTGTCGTAATAAAAACTATTGATTCGTCTTTCTACTGCGTATCCAAAATATATAGGCCAATTAACAGTGTAAATGCGAAACAGGTAATGAAACGAACTGTAATTGGCCTATACAGGGACATATGGACATTGTTGTAGTTATTTAATCGCATTCATGTTGGAGCTGAAATAAAGTGACAGTAAATGCATGGCCCTTAGTCCCCCCGTTAAGACACGCACTTTGGAGTGTGACACTGACAATAAACATTACAATAAACATTTTATCTATAATACTGCGGAAACAAAAACAGCATGCAGTTGGTGATCCTAATTAGGCTATATGACACACCAAAATATAGTTAAAGCAATACTGGTGATGTGTCAGACATTAAATACGGAAAGTAAGTGTTATTTAAGTCTTGAATACATTCATTTTCTTTGTTGTCCTTTGGGATTTTTTGAGCCAGGTGGCTAGCAGAGGAGAAGCGAAGCAGAGACACCAGTGTGCGGGTCAGCGGCGTGCCGAGGGCTGTGGAGCGCATGTGGCCGCCGGACATCTAGCGGGGCTCAGGCGGTTTCATCCCGGGATAAAGCGGCCTGTGTTTCACACTCCTTTTCACTGTGACATTCAAACACATGGGACAACATGCCAGTCACCAGTGTGGAACGCAGTCCAGACCCCAGCAGGACACCCGCGATCCACCTGTTGCCATAGCTTACCATGACATGATGATACTTCTGCTTTATTTGGAAATAAATATTCAATCTCAGTTATCAGAAAATACAACTACAGTGTTTAACATTTAAACATACATGTTTTCCTTCTAACTAGAGAATAAAAGATAGCATATTAGGTTAGCACAAACGAATTTTTTTTTTTTCTGAAAGAATCATATTCATTCTATTCTATTACAACTGCCCCATTACCACACTCCCAGCGAGATATATCTTATCTTATCTTATCTTATTGAGAGATCTAATGGGGTGAAATATCCTTTGTTGATTCCTGTGGGGAATTCGACATTTAATGGTAATATTCAGTTTATCTGTTTTGGATAAAATATTGTATTCATCTTTAGCAGTTATATGGCCAGCAGATTTATTTCAGCGAATGCTTTCCCAAAAACCAAACGGAGGCTACAGATTTAAACAAGCAGCCTATAACGTTGTCCGGACTATATTGTTTTTCCTCTCCCTTATCACATTCTGGACGTTGATTCACCGCATCTGCCTTTGTTTATTACAGACTTTTTGACACAACTAGGCAATTCGTAAAACAATTAAGCATTAAAATTATGTTATTATTATTATTGTTGTTTCCAGTCGAGCTCTTTCTATGGGGTCGCCTGTTGCACCTTCCTCCTATCTTCCCTTCATATGAACACATTCCAGGAACATAAGTCTACATGATGGTTATTTGATACTCAAGTCAAACTTATCTCGATTAGAAAAAGCATGCACTTTTCGTTTATAGACAGAGCATGCAAAAGGTTACTGAGACTTTACCAAGTCCACAGACTGGCTCAAACAATACTGTGGACATTCATCCTTTCCTAATATGTAATGCACACCGACGATTCTGAAATGGAAGGTAGTTAATAATTTATTAAGCCCCGGTTCTGTCGTGAATGGGGCCTTACAGATGTTACGTGCGCCGGTGACACAAGATGCTGCCTCTTTCATTGTCTCCATCTTACCGAGGTACCCCTAACCATCATCATATCTGCGGACTGCGGTGCAAATGCACTCATAGCTTGTAGTTAGATCGGAGCCACCCGGTAGAAGGGGGTTTTGTATTGTCTCAGGGCGGTCACTAATTTATTCATGCAGTGACACACGGCCGTCAGGCTTGGAGAGTAGACGGCGCAAGCACGGTCTGTTATCGGATTACCGTGTCCAACAATAGGGGACCGATCGTGTTGCCCCCCTCCCCCCCTTTTATTCTCTTCCATTTGCGCTGACGCTTTTAAATTTCCGCAGCTGTTGTAAAGACGTATCATAAATGACTGGTTTCTGTGCAATGAAGGGCGCACTGCTCATTAATCCACGCCTAACTAAAGATGTATACATGTCTATTGGTTAGATTAATCTCGCACATTCGTCGCATGAATAGGCTAAATTTTAAAACGACCCAACACCAAAAGTACCGTCTATTGGTTTCTTCATAGTACAGTCACCAACGCAACTCGCGATTAAAGTAAATTACACTACGTTACATTAATATAAGTTTATTACTATAAACTGTAGGCTACTATTAAGTTATGTGCTAGAAGAGTGATTTGCGGTATTCAACAAACACAACGTCATTCACAACTGAATTACATCAATTAGGCTATTGCAACGTCGTTTATATCAGATCGGACCCTGGACACTTATATTATATGGCATTTCTTTGTTAATGCCTGCCAAACAGGTGATCGAACTACCGTACGTGAATTTATTATATTTATTTTATTCTTATTTTTTGCGTTGGTGTCATGCCGATTGCGTGAAGGAAAAGTGTCTAACCTGTGTTAAGGAGTCATAAAAAGTTCCTTTACAGCTTTTAAGTTACATTTTAAATGTGCACTGTTAAACAATTTTAATACGCTTTTTAATAGCGTTCCATCAGCCACGCCGCTTGTACTCCTAATTGCTATATTTTGGGGGAAAAGTATTTATTTTTAATACTTTATGAAGGAACATGACAGCACGCCATTCAGAATGTATGAGCAGCACACGCATGAGGAAGCCTGTTGCCAGCGGACGGATGTGTGAAATACCCTCAGACAGAAAGTATGCGAGTCTCCATTCAGAGCCCCACGGGATTTAATCCCATATTCAGCTGGCCTCGAACCTAAAGAGCGCCCGATTCTATGCTGATGACTCGAAAGGGACTTACTTCCATGGCAACTGGGGATGGGCTGATGAAAGACTGACAGCTGCAGAAGTCTAAACCCCCCCCCCCCCCCCCCCAACACTTGCTCATACTCATCACAACTGTACTACACATCGATACGAAGAGTCTGCAGTGCGGCTGAAGCAGATCGCGAAAGCTACACACACCATTCTTTACATAACATCCAAATTATCTGGTAACCTGGCGTTCAGGACAAGCACTGGTAAATCCCGAGATTATCCCGAGATGCTCAGCACGTTGTGTAGGATGTCGGTATCCATTACGCAAAATTTAAGTTAGTTTACCTGTCAGTGCGACCTACTTTTAAACATGGGCTTATAATGAGTCTCACAGACTACTGTTACAGTACTTTGCGAAAGACAAGAGGGTCAGCTTCCGAACAGCTCTTGTCTGGATCGTGTGTCCTCTGCAAATACGTTCTTTCACTGCATCAAAGTGCAGCTCCCGGGTCCTAGAGCAGCAACAGTCGCGATCTAGATTTTAGGTTAACAGCGCCATCTACTGCTAAAAGAACAGACTTCCGTCTCCCCATTTTAAGTGGATTCAAATTAATCGGAATTGAAAAAATCCATCGTCGTCCACGTTTGTGTCCCCTGTCTGAAAAATGGCATCGCTCTCTAGATAGCCCATGAGCCCCTAACCCCCCCCCGCCCCCAATTCTCCCCAGCTCTGTCGTCCTTGTCCTTGCATGTGAAACGTCCTTTCTATCAGGCCTACTGGGAGTCCTGGTCATGCCAGACTTTTGGGGAAGTGTGTCCAGATCCTGTACTGGGCTCTCCATCCAATTCCAGATGGTCTTCGTCCTCAGGCCGGCTCATGCCACAACACAGTGTAGACATGTTCCTGAGCTTGCTCCTTAGCGACGCCTCCTGGGCCTATGGGGTAAAACAAAGAAAGAATAATGGATTACCATGGCGGACCAGGCTGGTATAGCTTTTATGAATGAAGCGGAGTCTGCTGTCAACTGGCCCAAAAGAATCTAAGCCAGGCTGAGAAATCCAGACCACAGAGATTTCCTGAGCTATAATTGTGCCAGTCTTGTCCTTTCCTACTATCAGAGTATCGAAGGTCCACTTTCAACAAATTTGATGAACAAGGGTGGGGATCCTGCTCCATGGAGGGCCGCTGTGGGGGCGGGGTTTTGGGATGACCTCTCAATCAGCCAATAACTGTGGATCCCCAGGACCGGGGATCAGAACCACTGATTTATTATTGGTTGATTGAAAAGTCATCCCAAAAACCCGCACCCATACCGGACCTCCACGGAACAGGTTCCCTACCCCTGTACTAAAAAAAACAAACCCCACACTGAGTGTGTGGGCATGTTCTCTACCACAGGTTCTCTACCACAGTCCAAAGAGACGCCGTTAGCTTACTGGCATTTCTATAGTGTGTGACTGTGTGCGTGTCCCCTGTGACAGACCGGCATTCCATTCAGAAAGGTACTGAGACATGCTAGTGAATATTTAAGCTAAATTTACACCATCAATAGGCATAAATTAAAGAATCTTGAGTGCGTCGCCCCCCCTTGCCAGCAGTACCTTACGTTTCTCCTCTGCTCTCCTCATCCTGGCCTCGATGTCGTCCTTGGTGATGAGCTTCCCAGCCCTGTTCCTCAGAGTCTCTAAACGTAGGGGCGGCCGCCGTAGGTGCTGCCCTGGGCCGTCCATCTGTAGAAATGCGGAAGCTGTTTGACAGCTAAACATCTTTGGTATTAAACTAACAGTTTACCGCAGGAATCAGTACAAAATGGAACCTCCTCTAAACAGTGGGGAAACTCACTAAATCCACAGAATGCAAAGACGTCAAAACCCAGAATAGGGATAGGCTGTACTCTCCCAGACTCTCCCACCAATGATATCTTGCCAGTGAGTAAAGCTAGAACGGTAATCAGGACTCTGAAAAAAGACCATGTGACGACTGAAGTGTTTAGAACAACCAGCATTAGGCACAGTCTGAACATATCAGATTCAAAAGGAATTTCAAATTCCCTCTCTGAGTGTCCAGTTGCTGTGTTGGCGTGTGTCCACTCGGCATTTGCATGGGCTGTTGAATTGGTGTAAATTGCACTTTGTGTGTGTATATGAGTGTGCGTGTGTGTGCCAAGGTTGGCGGCATCCCGTAGAGCATTCATCAATTCCAATCCAGATCAGGAAGTGGAACTGGAGTTGAAATTTGCATCTCCCTGTAATTTGAATTCAATTCCAATTCTGTTCCCCATAGTTTTTTTTCCAATCCCAACTGCAGTTACATTTCTCGATTTGGATTGGAATCGATGCATTCCGGAATGGCCCCAACTTCCTGAAATAAGCTCCAGCCCCCCTGATGAGCTGGCGTTGAATATGACAGGGTATATTTACTGAATGATACGCATGAATGATATTTACTGCATGACATTTTATTAATAATCTTTAAATGATATTCTTCCAAGTTCAGGGTCATGTGACCTGTACCACAGCCAGCGTTAAGAATATGGAGGAAGAGGGACAATGTTCCTTCAGACATTTTTTTCATGGCTGGTAGGTGTGTGAGGGCAAAGAGGATCCTGCGTGTTTGGCTGCACCATACATTGCTCACCATCACGCTGTAGGCCACCCCCCACTCCCCCTGACTGTGATTTGCTGGGATGAGTCCCTGCTTCTGCAGCTGCTCCAGGATCTCATGGGCCTTTGGTCTCTCTCTGTCCTCCTTGGTGAACATGGAACTAGGGCCTGACTCACACAGACAGACCCAGACAGACACACACATAGATTAGTTATATCTATATCTAGTTATATCTCTCCATATCTATGCGCGTAACCCTAATCCCAACAATGACCACCTTAACCCAACCCAGCCCTAACTTAAACCATAAGTAACCAAACAAAATAGGAGACTTTTTGTATTTATACTTTTTTGATTGCATTCACGGATCTGTGGGGACCTGAAAACTGGCTCAGTCAACTTCGTTCAGTCAGCTTCTTCTTGACTGAGTGGTGAGTCAGCACACATTGTTGAACCTCCTTGTAAATACCCCCTTACCCCTTAATGGGGACATTGTCCTGGGCCCGGCATCCAGACCTAACCCGCTGTCTGTAGTATGCTTAGACGCTGCCGATTCTCCGCGGGGCAACGCCTCCGAAACATCACTCTCCAAAGCATTATTCTGTGATGACAGGCAAGAAAAGAAATTTCTCAGTGATACATCCCTCATTCCAGTGGTTCTCAACCTTTTTTGCACCTCGACCCAATGTTTACCATGCCATCTCAGTCGCGACCCTTTATCAAGTGTAGGTTTAAATTAACGCTATGATCAGTCAGAGTCCAGTCCGAGTCAATTTCCCTATAGGCACAATAAAATGTGCGTGTGTGTATATACACACACACGCACACGCAAACACACACACATAACTGTAGAGAGAAAATAGTAATGTATCACAGAGAACCAGTTTTACGAAAAAACAACTGCATTGAACCGAACCGATAATTTGGATGTTATGTAAAGTCAATTCAATTGATATTATGATGAATAAGCAAATGAATTATTAATAAGTAAAAGACTGCTAACGGAGAGGGTAGTATTACGCATAGGAAAGAATTATGTAAACATTTTAATGGAAACGTGTCTTACCGAACACGTAGATATATTGAATTATGTATCAGTTTTTCCTCAGTGCAGATATTTTACAATAAATAGCAGATTGACTTGTCTTGTTAATGCGATCGAAAGAAGACTTATAGAGGAAACGTGTCTAATGTTTAGCAGTAAAGTAAAGATGTTTTGGATTTCCTACAACGGTAATCGGCCAGTATTAGTTTATTTCACTTGCCTCCAAAGTGACGGCATCGACCATGGTTTGTCTCAGAAAATTAAATAAGAAATTCAGTAGCTTTTTCTTCCCTATCTCAGGATAAAAATTTCAGAGGTTCATCTGATAACTGTTACGTAAAATCTATAGAAGCACATTTACAGCTGTATCATAAGCATTCACAAAACTGCTTTAGTTTTACATGAATTCTATTAATCAAAGACTAAAAATAAAAAAAGAAACTGATGCTGTTGGTCTACCTCATTTCCTTCAACCAATCTGCTGGGCTCCACAGCCTTGACAACCGAGAATTTGGAACTTGTGCATCCCATAATAAGTAAAGCCAGCAAACACCGTGTTGGTGCAGATTTATTAATGTTTGCTTTTCTCGTACGACTCTGAAACATTTTAGGCAGTCACATTCTTATACATGAATCATGATACCGGAGCCTCTGTTGCTATGGACTCCTAACGTTGCCATGGGTCGTCGCTACAATAAATCTGACCTGATTGTCAGGTAGATAGACTTACCTAGGCTGTCTAGTCTCTAGAGCAAGTGGTCAGATCGACAACAGAAATACTTTCCAATTAATTTCAGTTGACGGTACTATAGTCGATCGCTCAGTAAATGGGAATGGATTCGAAATAAAAATCAGATATAACAACATTAGGCAAAAATGACAAAATTATCGACACCTATGGGCAATTTAGCAACTCCAATTAGCCTCAGCACGTCTTTGGACTGTGCGGGGAAACCGGAGTACCCGGAGGAAATCCTTACAAGGTATAGTCATTTCTAATTTATAATATTGCAAGGAAGGTCCATTTATGGACCTTCTTTCCATGCCCTTCCAAGCCACTTTAGATACTTCAAAATGCAATCAATCAATCGAGATGTTCACTCCCCCTTTCATCCTACTCTATTGGTTCCCAGTAGGGTTAGGACGACTATGTAATCTAATCGACTATTAGTAGTCAAATAGAGAAAAAAAAATGCTACATTAATCGTTTAAAGAACAATCGTTTGGGGCAGCACTAGTTCCCAGTAGAAGCATATGTCAGTATTTAATTTTCCCGCAGAACAGTCAGTGGATTATCATCTACCTATTTGAGGTCTCTCATCTTACCCTACATTCCTTCCCATGGTTTTAGGTGTAATGATTGGGAAATACCACCTTCATCACAGAACGGCGTTCTAGTGGTAGGATACTTTGATACGGCCCAAGTGTTTTTTGGTTCAAATCTGGCTGTATCCTAATTTTACATATCTTACTCAGTTGTTTTGATCACACCTAAAAGGCGCTTTGGATGAGAGCATCTGCCAACTAATTGTGTATCACTTATTCACTTCAAAACCACACAAGCATTTGTTTAGTTACGTTTAGTTATTTTGTTTTCAAGGTTCATAGCAGAACTGACCTGCTTATGCCACATATTGCCTTTCTGCACACATTTTGAAATGTATGTTTTGCCTAGCCATATGCTTGGCTCCATGGTCTTGTAAGACCTCAAATGGTTGCTTAAAGGGGAATTTCAGTATTTTACATCTTAACACTGTAAAATAAAAAAAAAACCTCTGTATAAAGAATAATTTTTCATATTAAAATATTACTCCTTAGCAAATCCAGTGACAAAATATGGGTCAAAATGTTTTACATAATCAGAAAGGATGTGTTGGTTTCAAATGTATGACTAATCAGTAACTTGGCATTCTTCTCTATATGTAGTACACACATGTTGTTACATGAAAATGAATTTTATTAGTAAAAGGCTTCAGTGAATGAGTGTTGTCTGTGAGAAACAGGGAGTTTAAATACCTTCCTAGTATTTTATAATGGTGAGCAGGAGGGCTTTTGGCTCCTGTCTGCTCCCTGCTGCCCACTGGTGGCCACCTCTGCTCCTCACCATGGATGTGCTAAGAAGGTCTTGCTTCTTCTCCTAGATTCCACTAGATTCCACTAGTGAGCTTCTTATGGCAAGGCCCATACAGAGTGGCAAAAAGGTGGAAACTAGTAACCTAAGAGGTAAGCCACCCAGTACCTGGAAAAGTGTACCATATTAATTGTGTTCCCTGGACTTCAGGGAATACATATGATTTTAGCACCAGTCATCTGCTGCAGACGTTTTGGTATGTAAAGTGATAACTCAAAAACATCTGACAGTTCTTTGCACAGGCATTGTATCTATGAGGATCTGGAACTGATTACATTTTGAGACTGATTGCCCCAAAAAGGGCAATTTTGACATTTTATCCCATTAAGACAATAACTCAAAAACCATTTGATGGATCTTTTTCAGAGGCATTATATGGGTACTTATATGCAACTGGTTAAATTTTGAGACAGATTGCCCCAAAACTTAAGGAGAACTGCATGGTGATTGCAAAAAAAAAAGCAGTTTTGACCCTGGATCCTATTAAGGCAATAACTCAAAAACTTTTGAAACTTAGCAGAGGATTTGTATTGGTGTGATAGTGGAACTGATTAAAGTTTCAGACAGATCATCCCAAAATTGAAGCTGCTTATTGCCAGCAATGAGAAGGGTGAAAGCAGATGTTATTTGACTTCGTGAATGTCCATCCATCCAGAACTGAAAAATCTTAAGTTAGTAACCTTGAGTTTGCCTGTGAAGGTAAACGACTAAAGCTTCAACAGGCTTAGCGGGCCTTGTTTTTTCAACCAGCTTCTGCTTCACTCTTTCATATTGCCCAGGGTGCAAGAACACTAAAGCACATGGTCTCTCTCAAAAATTCCGTAACTCAAAGTGAATCTGCAAGCCCAAAGCTGTTTTGTTCTCAGCACGTCTCTTGAGGACATGAGAAAAGCACAGCTCACAGACCTCGTCCTGGTAATACTCCTAGAGGTAGCTGTATGTTCCAGTCTCAGTGCACTCAGAGGTACAATGTTCCAGGTTGGTGGGCCATCTTTGGGTAGTTCCTCCAGAGATGTTTCTGGTGGCCTAGAATGGACAATGGTTGCAAAAAAATCTGCCCAGTGTGTATACCTGCCAAAAGTCACCCACCCAGAGGCCGTCAGGACTGCCCCAGCCCCTCCCCATTGTCCACCACTCATGGTCTCACATATCCTTGGATTCTGTGGACATCACTCTTGTGACACTTCTGTCCTGGTGCAAACTCATGCTGTTTTTTGGGCTTGCTGGGTCACTTGAAGGGTGATCTGAGCTTCCTCTAGCTACCTCTGTAACCAGTCTCCCATATGCAGAATGTAGTAGACTACACTTTGTCCCAAGGAATGTTTTGATGATGCTCTCCCTTCAAAAGGTCATCCAATGTTGGCCAGTCACAAAGCAGCTCAAATTGTATGAACCCAGCAGAGGTTTGCTGCATTTCCCTTTGGGCAAACAGAAGGTAGGAAAGCCAGTTGTCCTATTCCCAGTCAGTATCCATGATAAACTTCTGCAACATCTTTTTCAACGTCATGCATGTAACTAAACTCTTCAGCCAATAAGGGCAAAGGTTTGTCGTCATGGAGGCGGTTCCAGTTTGTGCGGCCGGGTGAGAGGTTGCAATGCATCTAACCGTAATGCATTGCGTCAGGATCAGAATGCGTTGCTTTAAGCCAGCGCTGTAAGCAAGTCGAACGCACCCAATGACCGGACTGTGGAAACAAACTGAAACGCGGACTTAATACAGAGGACTAATGACAACAACCAGAAACAGCTGATCACATGGGGATCCCACACAAGGTTAACGAGGGGGCGTGGCACACGGAAGGAGTGGACGATCGGGGCAGGACAGGGGTAAATAAGATCTTTGTTTTGGAAGCCATTAAGAAAAAAACGCTCTTCTTGTTTTATCCTGATCATTTTGTGTTTTAATGCTAAAAAAAACAAAAAAACATTTAGGTGTAATTTTGGGGGGCCGGGGACCAATTAATTGGTTTTCCATTATTTCTTATGGGAAAAATTTGATCAGAACTCGAACTTTTTAGGATTCGATCCGGAGTCCGGAAATTCAAGAACCGAGGTACCACTGTATTTTCCCAGCTGTCCCTAAATTGCACCTAACCATGAAAATCAAAACCAAGGTTTGTACTGAACAGTGAAAACCATTATACCTCTATATAGGATCGGCAGGTCTCTCTCCATGACATCAACAGACAGATCATCCAATCCCCTGATGCGGAGCAGGTATTTAACAAAAATCACAAATGACTGGCATCATTCAAAGCCAAGGAAAATCTGAATGCACACGGGGGACTGATTCAACTTCTGGGGACCAGTGCCATTCCAGTCCCCCACTGTCCCCTGCAAGGTGTACAATCTTTCTTGGGTGAGGTCTCAGGGTCCCCATGTATTTAGCAGTGGTGCAGATATGGAAAATGGATGGATGGATGGATATATGGACTTTTAATGGATTCACTGTGAAAACAAACATGGATTTTTCAATTCATAATTTTATTGATGGCAATTTACCCCATGGTTTTTACTTTGTCATTCACCCAGTAATAATCATGGCTTTTAATATTAAATTGTCTTCCTTATTATCCAAAGTCACCATAGTCCATTTAAACAAAAGATAAAAAAATATATATTTAACACTTTGTACAATACTGGTTTTGGTCCAAACAGAAGTGGATCAGAAAAGCCAATATACCTTTATTTTTCAAAGGATTCCCAATTTGCATTTGTTTATTTTAAATGGATTCAGGCAACTTTGAATAAAGGGATTTACATAATAAAATCTAAAGACGAATGCCAAAAAAAGAAAATCGCTGTAACACTCACAAAAAAAATTCAAGTTCACAGATTTAGCCAAAAAAGAAACTGTATTTACATGTTTATAATAAAATACTCAAAGGTGAATTAAAGAGAGAAGGAAAGAAAGCAAGAAAAGGGGAAGAGGAAGGAAAAGCAATCATATGGAACTATAGATTTACAAAGTCAAGTTGAGGTCCTCTGCTCTCCTGGCTGCCCCACACCCGATGCAGCCCCCCCCCCCCCAAATCACAACATTCAAATGCTTTCAGTCTCAGTCAGTCCAACAGCGCGCTCACTCACAGTCATCAGCAGGCCGCTAGGGGGAAGGGGGGACAAAAAACGAAAACACTGCCCGTCTCAGACCCTTGACAGTGAGGTCAAGCCAGACATTCTGCAGAGGATGCAGCGCAGTGATTAAAACGCATCAACAGGAATTTTCTACTTGTTGTTTCTCTTTTATTAGAAAAAGCCATGCTTGAGCCATAGCTGACACTGCCATTGTCTAAAAGATGGAACCTCCGGCATCAGCCGACGGTCTGATTGAGTGTTTTTCTTAACTGGATTTGTGAAGTTTCATTTGTCCTCCTGTCCCAGGCTCCTCCACCATCTCCCTTCAGTTCAGGAACACGAATGCCAAAAAAGCGACCCTCTCCCATCCCCCCCCCCCCCAAAGAGGCACATTTTTCAGGCAGGAGCCCCTTCAGATCGTTCCTCTTCACAGGGCAGAAGGGACTTCGCTGTCGCTTGTGGCAAGGATTCCTATTTCCGGCGGCGGACTGCGGTTTTGATCTTCCGCCCGGAGATGGAGTGGGACCCTGGAGCAGAAACTGACGCGGGGCTTTTCACCGACCTGGAAGACAAGACAGCAGGGGGTTAAAGAGCAAACCCAGCTACCAACATGCATCAGTCCTCATTAATAAAGGAGAAGTCATCTTACCCAATGTTGAAAGTGGGCCGGACACCGAAGTTGAACCCTCCAGTGGGTGCAGGGGGCTGGGTGCCAGGGGCGGGGGCAGCAGAGGCGGAAGCAGAGGCCCCGACTCCACCAAAAGTAAAGACTGTAGCACTGCTACTGGAGGCTCCGAAAGAGCCGGAGCCACCAAACTGGAAGCCTCCCACTGCGAGAAAGAATGGGGCCACAAGATGACCAAATGGGACACACAGGACACGTAAGAGTACACAGGCGGAGCGGCACAGGACTCCAGTACGACTACGGTCTAATCGGCCAGCTGCACCCAGACAGTGAATTACAGCATTATAGGAAAGCGTCTGATGACGTCGCTCCACACCCACCTGAACCTGAGGAGGCAGTAGTCGTTCCGAAAGTCGGGTTGGCGCTGGCCGGTTGGCCAAACATGGGGGCAGGGTTGGCGCTAGGCTGCGCCCCGAAGCTGGGGGGCTGGGAGACTGGGGCTGAGAAGAGGGATGGAGCCGCAGAGCCGAAGGCAGGGGCACTGGGCTGGCTGGAGCCCTGGCCGAAAGAGGGCGTCTGTCCGAGGCCGAACGACGAGCCAGCCGGGGTCGCAGAGGACGCCGTAGCCGAAGAGAAAACAAACGGGGAGCTGGACTGACCGGGCACTAGGAGGGAAAGGTCAGGGGTCAAATGTAACCTGGGCATTTTTACAGGTGGAAATAAAACTTAACACGTACTAGAGGGCTGCGATACTGGAAAATACCCATGTGGTATGTGAGGGAGACCCAAACTCACCAGTGGAACTACCTGCAGAAGGTGCAGCAGCTCCAAAGTTGAACGATGGAACAGCCGTTTGTGCCCCCGCGCCGAAGATGAAGGGCTGCGCTGGGGTGGGAGCGGCAGGGGGGTTCTGGGGAGTGGCCTGCATAGGACTGGGGTCCTGTTGCTGACCAAACACAAAGGCCTTAGCAGGAGGTGTCTCTGTAGAGACGCACTGTCCGAATAGGAAAGGGGCTGGGTTACTGCTTGGAACAGGAGCCGGGGCAGCAGTGGTGCTGGCCCCAAATAAGCTGGGGGCCGGGGTAGTAGAGGCAGGTTTTGTGTTGGCCCCAAATAGGCCGGGGGCCAGGGTGGTAGAGGCAGAGGAGGCCGGTGTGGTGCTACCCCCAAATAAGCTGGGGGCGGGGGTGGTAGAGGCAGAGGAGGCAGGTGTGGTGCTGACCCCAAATAAGGTGGGGGCGGGGGTGGTAGAGGCAGAGGAGGCAGGTGTGGTGCTGACCCCAAATATGCTGGGGGGCGGAGTAGTAGAGGCAGAGGAGGCAGGTGTGGCGTTGACCCCAAATAAGCTGGGGGCCGGGGTGGTAGAGGCAGAGGAGGCAGGTGTGGCAGTGGTGGTGGACCCCGCCGTGAACCCAAAAGCTGACTTTGATGCTCCTGAATCTAAATGGTGGGTGGGGGAAGAGAAAAACAAGAAAATGTTAGATCACGAGCAAAATCTGGGGGCTGGAATGGAGACGGGGAGCCCAGTGCTCACCTGCAGATGCCACCCCGAAGCTGAAGGATGGCTTGGGCTGCTCCTTCGGGGGGTCTGGCTTGTTGAAAGAGAAGCCCAGTGAGGGGGTGGGACTCTCCTTGGCTTTGCTGAACAGAAAGCCAGCAGAAGGGACTCCAGGCTCCTGCTTTTCCTCTGCCTTCCCGAAGCTGAATGTGGGGGCAGGAGTGGGGGTGGGGGCAGGGGCGGTCACCCTGACTCCTGCCTGGTTTGTCTCGGCTGCCTGGCCAAACAGGGATGCTGTCTGCGCCTGATCTTTGATGGGCTCTGCATCCACGGACTTCCCGAACGTAAAGGAGGTGCCGGGTTTGGTCTCAGTAGAGCTGGCCTCGTCAGTGGACCCCGACTTGCTCTTGTGGGTGGAGAAGCTGAAGGTGCCCTTCTCATCCGCTTGGGCCAGACCAAAGGAGAAGCCCTCTGCTGGGCACTCCTTACCATTACCGCCGGAGCCAAAACTGAACTTGAACCCACCACCTTGGGGTTCATCCTTCTTGCCTTCCTCAGTCTTTGCTGTTGAGGAGGGGGATCCAAACTTGAAGCCCTCTGGAGGGGCACTGAATTTGAAGCCCCCTAAGGTGGGATTTGCAAATTTGAATCCACCAGAGCTACTGGTGGTGGAAGAAGAGGTGGAGTTTGTACCAGACGAGGAAGAGGAAGGGAGGCCAAACTTGAATGAAGGCGGGGCAGAAGCAGCAGCATCAAAACCTGGGGGGGGGGGATGGGGGGAGTATCCACAGCAGTCAGTAGGGAATGGGATAAACCAGTCCCCCAGTCAGATGGCTGGGTATCACCCGTGACAGAACATTCAGCACAACGCTATAGTATGATGTAATATCACTATTGTATCCTGATGGTTAACGCTGCAATACCGAAATAATGGAACTCCAAAAATTTGAAACCGGACAAATTTAATTAACACGCATTAACTGCATTTAACTACCATGGATGAGTCAGCATCTTGAATAAAGTTATTACGCATATCAACTCCCAGTTGCATAAACTATACATTTCTTAGTGAATGCATAAAGTGTGCATTTCTGTATTCAAAACCACAAATGTGGGGGAAAAAGAGAGACATTTCACTTGCACTGTAACAGCTGGACACTTCACTGGACTGCAGTGCACTTAGCTTAGGCTACATAAATGGCATATTTTATTCAGTAAATGCTGGAAAAAAAAAAAGTTATCTGCAGTTGTTAAGCAGTACTGCAACACAAAATAAAATTGAAGGAAAGGTTCAAAATACCAATGAAAAATTGCGACAATCTAAATCGTAAACTAGTACTGATACTGCTGCGATCACTGCCTTCCAACTGTCAGTGGGGCGCGATTCACTGCTGTACCTTTAGGTGGCAAGCTAGCCCCGGGTTTGCCGGACTGGCAGGCTGCACACTGCAAGACGTCAGCCTTGTTCTGCACTAGGCACACCTCGCAGTCCCAGCTGCCTTCCGGCTTCTTGAACTTGTCCCCGAAGCCTGGGAGTGCGCCCCCTGTGGGCACTGGGGTGCTGCCAGCTGTAGACGAGGGTGCAATGCTAGCAGCAACTCCCCCTGATAGGATGGATGGATGGAACATTACTGAAAACTCGCATAATCACAGTACAGAAAACCAATATCCATAAACACCTGAAGCATAAGACTCCAAAAAATACATTCTTATAATCCAACATCTGACATGTGACATTTCACAACAAGTGGGATTTCACCATCTTTGAAGCAAGTGATAAAATATCTGACCTCGTAATTGAAATCTAAATCCTCACAAATCAAATCCAACAACGAGAAAGCTCCATTTTAAAACTCTGTCAGATGGACAGAAATTCCCATAAAAGTTAATATGTATCAAGACTTCGGCCATTAATCATCAAGCCCCGGTATGGAGAATGCAGAAGCATGCAAAGATTTTTTTTCCCAAAACTACGGAGCACTTTTAACGACCACGGAGGCTCCACGTCAATCTGGTCTGAAATGCGAGATTGCATCATACAGGCCTGGGTATGAACCTGGCACTGTTTTCTTAGTGTTAAAAATGGGTTTATCGGCAGTCAATGTAGCCAATAGAGAGTGCTGGCCGTGTGGGATTATCCGTAATGAAAACCCATCTCCGCATGGCTCAAAATTAAAACGTACCATCAGCTTGACTTACAGACAGAAATAAAGCAGGCAGCAGCCCTGCCAGCGGGAACAGGAAGACCCACCTGGCTTCTGGCTCTGACAAGCCACGCAGGTGGCGTCCTGGGCCTTGTTCTCCACCATGCACGTCTCGCATTCCCACGACCCTTCTGGTTTCTTGAACTTGTTTCCGAAGCCCGCGAATCCCGAAGGCGCGGAGGTGGTGGTGGCAGCAGCGGTAATGGAGGGAAAGGTGGCGGTGGCAGTGGAGGCGCTGACGGGAGGAGCCTGGGCCTCTGTGAAGGCAGGCAGGGTCAGGCTGGGCTTCACTCCAGTCCCAGGCTTGGCCGTCTCACAGGCCACACATCTGACCACGTCGGGCTTGTTCTGCACCAGGCACGTATCGCACTCCCAGCTCCCCGCCGGAGGGGCGAACAAGGCCCCGAAGCCAGGTGAGGAGGCCGAGGCCGCGGAGGCCTGCCCGTCCTGCTGAGGCAGGGACGAGGAGTCCATGCTGGGCCGCGTCGTGCCGCAGGCCGCGCACTTGCTATCCGATGCGCCGTTCTGCACCAGGCACGTGCCGCAGCTCCAGGTACCCGGCGGAGGTCTGATGCCGAATCCGATGCTGGGGGCAGAAGCTCCGTCCTGAACAGACGCGTCGGGGCCTGGGGAGCTCCGAGCCGTCGGGGGAGATGAGGAGAACCCTAGGGGCGAAGCAGAGAGGGCTGAAATGACTCAGAGGAACACTATCCCAAAGCATCCATCCGAGCAGGGGCCAAATGCAGGGTAGAAGGGGCATGAAAGCAGGGGCGACCTGGACGGAAGGCCTGAACATCACAGGGTGAATAGACAAACTGGCAAGCAGCCACTGTGTGCAATTCACCCACCTACTGAGCCACCATGCTGGCCTACTCTCATTCCCAACAGCTGGCACACGCATAACCAAAGCAGCACTGCATGTGGTTTAGAACAACGTTCACAGTCCTCCCGGGAGGAGGCCTGCCCTCACCTGGTCCCCTGAGGATGTCCAGCACGCTGCCCTGCTTCAGGACCTTGGCAGGTTTAAAGGGTCCCTCAAACTGCTCACAGGCTGCGGGGCCCCCCGGGGGCGAAGACTTCGCTGCAGAGACACGAGGCGGTCGGCACGGGTTACGGCAGGGAAGGCAAAGCGCCAGATTTAAGGCGGCACACCACCTCTGACCATCGAAAGGCTCACCTGGTGGCACCAGCGCCTTTCCATTGATGTTAGGGGGGGCGCTTTTCAGAACCGGAGCGCTGAAGGTAAATCCGGACTGTGGGGAAGGAAGGGGGGTGGATGACAAACACACTCCTGAAGCCTGCTGTGTCCCTACACACGGAACATCAGACATCTTCACACACATCTCCTGCTCCCCAGCAAGCCCCAGCTCCAGGGCCTGTTTAATCCACTGCTGGCAGCAGCAGGGTGCCGCATCCACACAGGTACGACTGCTAGCTGGGCTTCCGATGGAACGCGGCTGGCGGAGCAGCAGAGCGGACCAGGCGGCCCGCCGACTGGCTGCCTTATTCCGCACTTACCGCAGAGGGAGAGAGCACCAGTGGGCTGGAGGCTGCCGCTTTGACGATGGGAGAGGAGAAGGTGAAGGGAGGATTGGACGACAGGGGGGTGTGCTGGGAGGAGGGGGGAAAAAAAAACCCAAACCAGAAAGGGGTCACATGGAATCTGGGCAAACCAAGCTAAGAGGAATGCAAACTCTCAGACAGAAAGCTCTGAGCTCCATAAGGAGGCGCGCAAGGAACCTCGCTCTACCTTGCTAGAGAGGGGTGTGCTGGGAGCCGGGGCGATGGGCGTGGCGCTGGAGGCGGAGGTAGGCGGGGAGGAGAAGCTGAAGGTGGGCAGGGAGAAGGTCCTGATGGGGAGGGAGATGGCTGGCAGCTTGGGCTCCACGATGACCTGGGAAATGGGGCCAGGAGAAGAGTGAGGGAGGCAGGACAGCGGCATGGACACGGCCACACCCACCAGGCCGTTATCACACCCCAAACTCTGCTAAGGCTTCCCATTCTTTCCTGGGGTGGCTCCGAACGGCTGGTCAGATAATCGATGGAATCAACATCGTTTTAGGAAATACAGCATTATATGACACGTGATCACCGCCTTGATCACCATTTGTGCATGCTGCCCCTGCAGGGTCACAGAGACAAACTGTGTTCTTTTGTCGTTTGCTCTGATCCCACCCGCTGTCCACGATTGGCTGACATGAATGCCACAAGCTGGTCAGCAGGATTAACTATGCCGTTTCTGGCATGCTTTGCACGCCAATTTAAATAATGTGCATTTGTGCAAACTGTAAATCTTGTGACCATGTAATGTTTGTTGTGGAATGCGTGCTTCGTTAGTGTTGTGCAAATTTTTGGCTTTCCCTGTCTGAGCCGCTACTAGTCTTAAACCACTCGTGGCGGTTAATAAAGAGCAACTTCCATTTTAAAAAAGAGCTGTCATATCTCCTTTATTAAACATATTGTGTGCGAGTCCTTTTATTTGCACTCTGTATGTGGGTCCTGCTAAATCAAAAACATTCTACACCGTCTAGTTATGGTATAGAATGTAGAAGCTGGCGGTGTCGTTTTCAGTATGTCCCACATTGTTCCCACTGACGCGTTGGATTTCGTTTTGTCCGGACGTAGTTTAAAAGCATACGGCCACCTTAACAGCTGCTTTTAGTGCCAAATCCGGTCCGGTCGGTGGTGTGTGTTTGAGATTAGTCAGGTGACACGTGCTCAGGGTTCCAGTCAGCAGTGTTTGAACATCCACACCTGCGACGCAAACAGTGGCCACAGCCCAGTGACACTGGGGACACGCAGCGCTGATCAGGCGTGGGGGGGCAGCTCACCTCCTCATCAGAGCGCCTAGAGGAAGGCCGAGTCGTCCTCTCTCGTTTCATCTTGCCACCTGCACCCCCATTGCTGTTGGCCATGGGGGTGCTGGACAGGGGGTACGCAAAGCTGCTGCTGCTGCTGCTGGGGGGGGGGGGGACAACAGAGACAGTTTTAGCTTAACGGTCCCAAATGCCAATGCTTAACTACACTCGATTTAGCTTTGCTTGTTATTTTTCTTCCTAGTCAACACACCCAGCTGTTACCCGATACACTAATAACATAAACAGCTGTGCACTGAACTGAACGCTGCAGCGCTGAGCATGCAGCCTGGGGACTGAACACGGTGGGCGAAAGGGACTCACCTTCGTGGGGCTTCAGAAATGTCGCTCAGGGTGGATGGGCCAGCGGGCTGTAGACGGGGAGAAAAGGCAACAAAGAAATGGGTGAGGAAATGCGAGCCACAGACGGCTGCTGCGGCCTCTCATGGCCTGTGGGGGGCAGTGGTGGCACCCAGTAAGAGTACTAGCAAGCCTCAGCGCCGTTAGAACCCACATACCAGGGCCACATCTGACTATATCGGGGCCCGGCTGATTTGGGGGAGCACAATGGCTGCGGTGGGACATTTCAGCAGCGGCTCTGCCAGCCACGGGGCAGCAGAATCAGAGGTAAACAGGAACAGGTGCTTCACAAAGGTCTCAGTGAGAACATCCTGTCAAAGGTGTGGGGCACATCTGCTATTAAAAACCACCAGCCAGCGTGATCAGCTTTCAGGGTGCCGGGGGCCGGCTCTACGGGTATGTATGTAGCACGGCTGGAACAGAAGGGAACAGGCAGGCAGCACACGCTTGCGTGCGAGGGTGTGCGTGCGAGGGGGGTGACGCACCGTGTCCCTGATGCTCCTCCTGTCCAACACGCGACTCTGACTGCCGCTGGGGGTCAGCGACGCCCTGAAGGACACTGGGCGGCTCCCCGCAGCTGTAACGGGGACCATAAGCCTCTGCACAGGGGGTAGCGGGGAATCCACCTGCATGGGGGGGGGGGGGCACAAAGCAGACAGTTACGGCTCAGAGGAGCCCCGCCACAGGCGTTCAGAAGGACCCCCTCCCATCCCAAGCCAGCCGACTGCTCTCAAACGGGGTATTGTGGGGAATTACAGAGCTGTCAACAGCTGTGGTGGATCCAACATGAGCGTGTGCATATGGACTGGGGGGGGGGGATGGGGCAGCTGCCAGGCCCCACAATGACCGACACTGTCTCCCAAACTGGCATCTGGAGGCGCATTGGCCAGGAGGCAGCAGCAGACCTGGGTGAGGATCACAGCCTACCTTCTTCCTTTTCGACTGGGAGGGAAAGGCGTCCAGATCAGGTCTATCCAGTGACTGCAGGACAGAGGGGGACAGGAAGGCGTGAGGAGAGGGGGGGGTCACGGCAGAAGCATGCAGCCCCCACCCCCTGAGAACGGCAGGTCTTAACGAAGGCGCCACCTACTTACTGTCGACAATGGCGAGGAAACGGACGACGGGATTCTTTTAGCGTCCTGCGAAGTAAAAGCAGTCAGTGCCATCAAACGACTATGCAGGGGCGCCCAGGGTACAGAGAGGGCCGACAGACATGTGCAGATTTACGCTGCGACAGAGCGCTACATCTACAGCTCTATGGGACAGAACGGCTTAGTTAGTCCAGGAACATCAGCATCCGGGGCCCTGCAGAGCCACAGGCAAGGAGGGACACTCACCGCCAGAGGGCTGGACATGCGCTCCAGGGAGAGCAGGATGCGTCTGGCTGTGGCGCTGGTCACCCCGCACGCTTGGGCCCCCGCCGGCTTGGCCTTAATCTGCCTCTTCACCGGAGCCTAGCAGAGCAAGAGGTGGGGGGGTGGGGTGGGTCGGTCATTCAGTGCCAAAGAAGCCAAACACTGCCAGAGGACTGGCTCTCCTGTCCCGCTTTTGCCTGCTGACCACACAGCAGGTGCAGCTCCCCACTACAAAACCCCACTGCCCCCCCGAAGCAGCCGCCATGCCAGCCGGCCCAGAACCACGCAGTCCGTTTCCGCTTGGGGGACCTGAGCACATCTCTGCAGAACCAGCCCTTAGTGCCGAAACATGGCCATCCTGCTGACCTACAGCATCCCCCCCCCCACATACCTCTGCCCAGAGAGGACGAGAACTGCTGTAGTCCTACCCACAGAACCTGGGATAGAGTTACACGGCAGCCATTGGGTGAGAAAGGGGAAGATATGGAGAAAGGAGGAGGAGCCCGATTTAAAGAAATGGGCATCCAGAGCTGAGAGGCACTGCACTGTCCAGTTGGAAGGTCCTCGAGCGAGAGCGAGAGAGAGAGAGAGAGACACCCACCTGGTAGGGGGTGCCGGGACGCACGCGGGCGCTGGAACGGGCGGCTGCAGCCCCCCCATAGGTGGTCTTGCCCGGGTAGAAGGGGGAGTCGCCAAGCTGGCTGGAGTTCAGCGCAGAGCTGTTCATCAAGGACTGGATATCAGGCAAAAGGAAAGACCAGAGTTATAAAGAGTAGGGCGATAACCTCATCAATGACAGATTAGTCAGGACAGGACCTAAGGGACCCAAGGTCAATGGCCGGGGGTGACCAAGCTGTGTGCAGACAGTGAGCGGCTACAGAGCAGCACGCCGCTCTCATTCAGCCTGACTGATCAGCACACACCATGTGCGATTACAGTAACAATTCATTCAGGCCGCACAAGGGCCCCCCTCAAGGGGGATCTGGACACGCAACAGCTGCTGCATCGACAATGGGCTACACATCCCCTCGGCTGCACCCAGCCTCCGAGTGTGGGAAACCCACACGGCGGGAGCCAAGTACGGCCCGATAAGCAGGGCACAGGCAGCAGGACACTGCGAGGATAATCGCAGATAATCACCCCCGTGCCGCTCGGAGACACAGGCCACACAGGAGCTGCCGTGATAGCTGCACTGAGCAAAAGGCCCATCTTCTGCCCAGCAGTGGAGACAGTTTAACAAGAGCTTCACATTCATATTTCACCCATACGCTTATAGTCATTGCCTGTTGGCTATAAAGTACAAAACACCCTTCTCACTTTAAGAGAGAACCGACAAAAACAGCATGGCTGGCCTACCCAACAGGCCTACCCAACAGGCCTACCCAACAGGCCTACCCAACAGGCCTAGAGCACACTTAACAAAATAACCAGCAGCTAATATAACCAACTGGGTAACAACCAGGGTCATTAAGCCTCTTTGGTTTTTGGCATTTAGCTGTAATCTGTAATCTTTCGGTTCCTGCAGATCAATTCAAATCATCGGAACTGAAAAGGAGCGAACGCGGCGGTCACACTTACGGCGGACGACGTCCCAAACACAGATAGGTTGAAGGCGGGCTTTTTCAGCGCAGGCTGGGCTGGCGGGGGGGCAGCATGCATGCGCTCATTCTCTGGGGACCACAGCAAAGGGAGCGGCACAGGTTTGGAGGTGGTCATGTCTGCAAGGGGACACAACAGGGCTGTGACTCGCCTGTGACTCGTCGCTCTCCCACCACGGAAGAGCTAAACCCGCCTAAACCCACAGGGTGCCGTGTTACCCCCACACCCTTAAGGACCCACCTTTATCTGACGCGCGTGACGAGAAGCCACTCGTGGTAGAGATGTTGTCGTCTTCGTGCTGGGAGACAGAATCCTTGATCTCCTTCACCAGGGAGAAGCTGGATGGGCCCCCAGGAAAGGATGTGACAGATGTGGAGGGGTGCGTGAAGGGGGTGACCGGGAAGGGGGCCGAGGACGTGGAGGGCTGGGCGAAGGGGCCCCCGGGAAAGGGCATGGATGATGTTGAGGGTTGGGCGAGAGGCCCAGGGGAGCCATCTAATGCAGAGAAGTGCAGGTGGGAGCGGCTCAGAGGGGGTCTGGCCAGGACGTCGTGGAAATTGAGAGCTGACCTACTGGTCGAAGGCTCTGGAAAGGAAAAGGCAGATGCCTGGGTTACATCAACCAGTAAAACGTTGGTGAACATCCTGTGCTGAGCTGCAGATGGAAGCCAGCAGATGGCAGCATTCTGGCTAAGGTGACGAGCGGTACCAGGAAGGCCCAGACAGCGTGAGGGGCAGACCCAGGGCCACGTCAACCATGTCATTGTAACACTTGCAACTGCAACATTTCGCAAACATGGCGCTGCAGTATTAAAACTGTACTCACCTGCGCCACTCGTGCTCGGCTCTGGAGTGCCCCGTCCATCCATGACAGGACTATCCCGCTCGCAGTTTTCAGTGGGAGTGTCCTGGGTGGGCTGCCCCCCCAGCGTGCTCCCATCCCCACCGCCAGCCTCCCCATTCCTGAAGTACTTCTGCAGCCAGGAGGGAACGATGCTCTTCACTGTATCTGTAACTCGGCTGATCAGGCCTGAATGCTGTGGGGCCAATGGGGAGGAGACAGTCAGTGGAGAGAGGCGACCAGCCCCCGCGGGGAGGAAGATGCCTGCGCAGCCTGAGCAGGTGAGCTGCTCATCAAACTCCACAGCAAAAGGGCCGAGAGGAAAAACTGAGCTCTTTTTCCATTCACAATTTCCTGTGTATGTGTTTTAAAAAAAAAAAAAAAGAGCTGATGGGACAAGAAAAACTGAAAATAACTGTAGTTAAGGGTCAGCAGAGAGAAGCGAGATGAGCGTTGTTACGCAGAGGGCGTCAGTGCTTAAAAGGAGACAAACAGGCCAAGAGTCATTCATAATAAAACATGACACACTATGGAGCGCGCACATTCATACAGTCAGAGTACACCCAAGGATTAACAACTCAGAGGTAGACCAGGTAGAAACAGTCTCTTTAAAAGCTTGAGGATGAATGCAGCCAAAGCCAGGGGAGAGGGGAAAGTGGGCCACTCTGCTGGCATTCACACGGGGCCCTGACAACCCCTGACAAGGCGCCTCAGAACATGCCTGCATTTCAGAGTTCAGGAGAATCCTCACAGCATGGATCTGTCCACACCTCAGTCACAACTACAGACTGCATGACTCACTTGCAGATTACTGGTCAGACGAGGACTACTCCCGGAGATCACCACGAAGCGCACTACGCGAATGAAGAGTTAACATCACCGCCGCATCTGCATCTTTAAATCTTGCCTTGATCATGTGACTAGCACACCCTCATAGGTGAGAGCACCAAGTGTATGTGTGTGTCACGATCATGCCTGTCGCCTGGCAAAGTAGTCACTTAAAGCCACCATAAGCCCCAACAGAATGTCTCACAGAGACACGAGTCCCCTGCCTCCCCCTGAGCAAAGCCGCAAGACAAAGACCTTTGCAGCAACAGCTTGGAGAATGAGTCTCTAAAAAAAAAAGGGGGGGGGGGGGGGGGGGGGGGGGGTGCCACCTCAACGATTACTTCAGCTAGTTGGCAGCCAAAGAAAACGCTCAGAATGGCTGTGAGGCCCACGGAAATGCTACTTAATGGAGACCTGACGTTTAAGGAAAGAAACCCCAGCCACCTTTCGGGCTGCCGTCGCATTCCAGCGTGTAACGTGTCCCAACAGACACCTGAGTAACGTTACACACTCAGGAAATGATGCCGACGTCAAGCCACCGGTGAGCCTGTAGGAACACTTTCCCGACCGGAAGCGATATCCAGCACGCCATGGCAAGTAATCATGCTCACATGTTAGCTGTGTTCATTGCAGAGATACTCTGATCATTTCCCACTAAAGAAAAGTAAATCAATACAAAACTTACAAAAAAAAAAAAAAAGCGAGGACCCTCCTACTCAAATGAACATGTCGAACGGCAAGTCAGGTATCACAGTGCATGACCTTTGCCAAACACACGATAATCCGGGTGACGGTGTGCAACTGACATGGTTTAAAAAAATAAAAATAAACACGTGGGAGAACCCCCACCCCCAACTCAGGCCCCCAGCATGTGGGCTCTAATCAGCACCCCACAATGTACATCTCCTTATCTTCAGGAGAACTGCTGTACCCCGCCTCCACCTGCACCCCCACCCTTTGCGCCTGCACACCATACCGGGGGCTTGGGCTGCCACAAGGAGGAGGGTGGCCATGGGGGGAAAACAAAACAAAGGGGAAGTGCCTGAGCCTTCAGTCCCTCAAATCTAAGTGACAATTTACAATACCGCTAAATAGGGAAATACCAAGATGAACAAAATTCTGCTGAAAAGCTTGATCATCAGCCTAGTCCTTCTAGGACAGTCAAGAAATTAGGATATCCAACCACATGGCAAAGACCCAAAAGGGCATTTTCAGAACGCGCTGCAAAAGGTAAACAAGTTTGCTTTTAAGTTTCATGGTATTATTGGAGCAAAGAGGGGAAAAAATGCACGATCAGCACATTTCCCCTCCTTCACCACAAACTATTTCATCTGCTGTCCCTTTAAAGTTTTAGGGAGGATTTTGTATGGAGTCATAGCCATCCAGAACCTGCAGCACAATGAGGTGGGAACAATGAAGACATTTGCTGGGCCAGGGAAAACCGAACCGGGTCAGTACCACTTACAAGTCTGCAACAAGGAAAATGACACTCATGGCCAAAGTGACGGTGTCTGTGAGGACAGCGAGCTGCAAGTCACTGTGCACAAACATGCACAGGCTCTCTTCGCGAATGTGCTGGACTGCGCTGCATGGAAAGCCACAGCAAAATGCAAAGGTCCCCCAGAGGCAGCTCTGCCATCCTGTTCTTCAGAAATGCAATTTGCCTAAATATCTCCAGTACGCCAGGCATCGGATGCAGAACGTGAAAGACTTAAGTGTTTTCAGGTAAGAAAAGCCACAGACTGAATGCAACATTGTGCATGTGCTTTAAACTGATTCATTCCAGTGACACAGATCACCAGGCCTGTAACATATAATTCAGAAAACAGCCTGGTAAGATAAATACAGGTATTTAAGCCAGACTAGTTCACAGGTAAGTGAAGGATAGTGTTTTCTGGCTCCGGGTACTTTAAACATGAAGCCAGATGGGACAGCTTGCAGTACTAAAGAGAATGGAAGTAGTTATTGATAAGCTCTTAGTGATTTTACATCAAACAAGGATTCATTCAGCCTAATTTGCAAATATAGTTGAAACAGGAAACAAAGTAGCCTATTTATAAATAAAAATTCAAATGATTATTTTCATCCAGATGTTTTTTTTTTTAAAACAAAATATTAGCAACATATACCCAGGTGTTTAACTGGAATAGGTGGACACGTGTGATCAACAGAATCTTTTGTGTTTAAATATCAACAGTTACAATAAAAAGAGGATGTATTGAGCTTTCCGACGTATCACTCTATTTGTTAGAAAGGAACAATTCGACATTGGATCAATGGTTTTAGGTCAATAAATACTGGGTTATACGGACAAAGCTGAAAGAAGGTGGCGAACGTGACACACCGGTAACGAGAATTAAATTACAGGGAATGCTACAACCACAGGGTCAGACCAGGGCACACAGATAGGATACCCCATATAACTGTGAGCAAGTCCAGCGGAAGAGACCGACTGTTAGACCCAGTTACGGGGTCCCTGTCAGTACATCTATCCAAGCCGCTGAACCACATGCTGATCGAGGAGCAGATAAACCTCCCCCATCGCCATCAGAAAAGCACTGATACCACTACACGACGCAGGTGGACGCGTGCATAGGCCTTCATTACACCGCGCTTCCTTATGACTGGTTTATTTCTAAGATTAGCATTATTTTATACTCTTTTATACCGGTTTAATTGTTTCCATGGTTGCCTCGCTGTCTGGTCAAATAGTGTCGTGGGGGACGGGCTGCGGACCATCGGATCCGGTCATCCATGTGGGGCCTGGACCCGGTCCAGTTTCCCTCACGTACGGCTATACTTCCCCACTCGGTGTGTCGACAACCCGCCATCGTCCGAGCAAGCTCCCGACGAACAACCGGCGGCTAGGCTAGGCTAGGCTAAGCTAAGCTACGCTAGGCTAACGTGGCCACACTGGCACAAGCATACCTGTTCGAAATACGTCGACCGCGAAGGAGACTGACAGCGGCTGCTAGAACCGCCACACTGCTGCGTCCTTTAAAACACAGGCAGTTTTCTCCAGAGTCGCCTGGCCGGTATCTCTTCCCCGACGAGTCAGCCGAGCCGCCCGCGTCGGCCAGCGAACACAGGCCCGAAAACCCGAGCGGCACGACCAGGCCGCGTCGCGTCTCCGCGGGAAAAAAGAACAAGCGACACAGCTGCAGCCCCCACAAAACTACGCCACTTTGACCGTAACGACGTTAAGTTATCGAAGGCCGCGCGTTCAACTTACCTGGTTGCCTTTTGAGTACGGTTTAGAAGCGATGTGATACCTCCTGGATCTGATTTTCCCTCCTCCTGCGGCCGCCATGGTTAGTTTCTAATCACTGCTCTATACCGAGGCGCCGGATAGAGTCCCGTCAGTACTCCGGCGCTCAGTCCTCCAATATACCATCACACCCCGCGCTCTATCTTCAAACATCCGAGAGCGCGCATGTGGGGAAATGAAGTTCCGTCGGAACAGAAACACTGTATAACCAACAAAAGAAGTAGCTAAGTAGCTGGGTGGCTTGCAGTGAAGTGAAAAAACGGGGCTTTGGAAGGTCGAAGCAGTAGAAATAATCGGTAGGAAAGAAGATTCAATCTTTCGAAACGTTCGAAATGTCGCCTCACAGTGACATCTGGTGGTCAGAGGGCAGCCCAATAAATCTTACTACAGATTCTCTCGATTGCTTTGGAGCATTTCTCAAATGACAACATTTGTAAAATAACAAGTGTAATCCCCACACCATAATGTCACTTCTGCAACAGAACATAATTTCTCATTGCTTCACACGGATTTCCAAATATTTTAGTACGTATATGCAAATGATTTTGTACATGCTTATATCTAACAGTTTTGACTCTCTTGGTTAAAGGAATGCCGATTGTACTTTTCATTTTGGTGGCACTGACTAATTCGTTATTGTAATCGTAGTCTTACCATATGTTATGTGATGGTCGCATTTATTCAGCAAGTCCAAAACCGTCCCATGCAGCAGAACTGGATTGTTTTTATGGCAGGGGTGGCAAACCTGATCCGTGGAGAGCTGGTGTGGCTGCGGGTTTTTGGGATGACTTCTCAATCAAGTGAAGTGAAGAGTTGCCATTGTTGACACACCACAGCACAACATGTCCTCTACATTTAACCCCTATGTGACATCATGACATAGCACGGGACAGCTAATGCAGTGCCTGGAGAAGATACACTGCTGGCTAGGGATTCAAACCAGCAATCTTTTGCTTACAAGTGCACATCCCTAACCATTAGGCCATCACTGCATCAATCACCCAGTAATAAAGCAGTGGTTCTCAACTCCAGTTCTGGGGACCCACAGTTATTGGCTGATTGAGAGGTCATCCCAAAAACCCGCACCCACAGCGGCCCTCTATGGGTCAGGTTTGCCACCCCTGCTCTACGGTATCAATGTTGTAACAAAGCAGGACAAAGAGAATGGACCCAAGAGTGCTGTTTATTCTGCAAATCCAAAGCACTATGCAAAAGATCGGCATTCAGGCAGAGCTAACAGATCGCGTTTAGGCAGGCATGGAGTTTAAAAAAATAACTGGGTATAAAAAAACAAATTACAGCAAGAGACAGCAACCAGGGGTCCGTGACCCCAGTGTGTCCACAGGAACTTGACAAAATGTGTCATCGTAATCAAACTGAAACATATTGTAGGTAGAGGGTTCCTATACCTAATCTTTTAGAATCCATTGGATCAGGCAAATGTCTTCAATTGCCCCAAGCTCCAGTTCTGATGCTTGCGTGCCCATTGCAGGTGCCTCAGACGGTGGCATGGGCACTCTGATGGGCTTGTGGCCTGGCAGCACCATACGCTGCAGGGCTGAATACCCTGTGTGTTCTGACACGTTACTCCCATGATCATCATCAGAATTATCTGCCGTTTATGCGATTTAACTCATGTTGTTTTGTACCAGATTTATTAGCTTTCATTCACATCCTACATTCTCAGAAAAAAGGGTAAAAATTTGTACCTTTGCTTGTCACTGGGACTGTACCCTCAAGGGTCTGTTAATTGTACCCTTAGCTTTTAAGGTACAGAAATGGACTCTGAGGAACATTTCAATACTATTGATGGTACATTAATGCTGTTTCCACCTTTGGGATATTCCTCAGAGTTCATTTCTGTACCTTAAAAGGTACAAGTAGAAGGGTACAGCCCCAGTGAGAACCAAAGGTATAAATATTTACCTTTTTTCCCGAAAGTGTATTGGTGGATCATAGTTTTTCCCTCCTCGAACCTCTCTGAGTAAGTACTCAGCATGGCTGACCGTGAGCACTCTTCAGGCTGTGCCATTTTGCAGATGCTCTGACCCAGTCATCTGACCATAATGATTTGGTTCTGGTCACAGTCACTCAGATCTTTATTCCATTTCTTCTACATTCAACCTGTCAACTACGAGTACTGAATATTAGCTTACCGTCTACTGTATCCCAGAACAGTACATGCACCATTTTCTGTATCTGCTTGGAACTTGTCCCTTTCAAGAATGAACCCCCGTTAAAATTATCACTATGTTAGCACCTGCGCAATATGATCCATGCTTTAATGAACACCATCCATACAGTGGAGTATAGTAGTGGTGGCACCATGCTATGTGGATTCTTTTAGTCTTCAGGAACTGGGCATTTTGTCAAATCAAAGGGAGATATTACAAATAAACCTGCTTCAATTTGCAACAGCAAAAAAAAAAAAAAACTAAAGCTTGAGGAAAAAGTTAACCTTTCAGCAGGACCTGATTCTAAACACCAGTCCAAAGTTATACAGGAGTGATTAAAAAAAAAAGGTGAATGTTCTGAAGGGACCAAGTCAAAGTCCGGTCTCAATCACATTGAGAACCTGTGATTTTCTTTGAAAATTACAAATAACATCCAACTAAGCTCAGAGACCTGGAGCAAGTTTGCCACAAAGTATGGGCAAAATCACTCCTGAATAGTGTAAAAAGCACCCCAAAATAATTACAGTTGTTATTACACCAAGAGGTGGCTGTTCCAAATACTAACATGCATTTTACGCTTTTTGGTTTACTGAGAAAAAATTGATTTTGGCTTGGAAAATTTACTGTGAGAGACTATGAGTTTGCAATAAAAATATTGACAGGAAGACTGTTTAAGTTTCAATTAACATAATTTATGTAGGCCTAACAGCCATATCTGATCATTTTAAGGGAGGTCGAATACTTTTGCAAAACTATATATTTTAGTATTATTTTGGACATATTGTAAAGTAGGACAATGACTAGGAGTAGGCTGTTGATACCATAAATGTGTATTGAGTATTTTTTCCACAAATAATGCTTTTATTAAAAGCAATTTTAAGTAACACTCGTATTATATAGTATGTCATTTTATAGTATGTACTACGGTATACTTGACATTTACTGAAGACTTAAAGTGAACAGCTAAGGATATAGTAAATATCACCGCAAATTGAGGCTACGTCAGTTAGTGTTGCCTGCATATGAGGAAGACATCCTTGAATTTGACTGTTAAATTAACTGTAGCCATATTCTGATGCAGAGCACGATATTTGCACATCACACAATGTACCTTATATACAGGGATTGACATAACCGATACGCAAGTACACATTCACGTGCGGCAATCGATTGTTGTAACGCTGAATGCGTACGTATTTTATGTGCATTTGCGCTGATATGACTAGAAATTATCGCGCATTCTAACCTTTATAGGCTATGTTAATTTGTACTTCATTTGCGGTATATAAGTTAAAATGCGCCATAATCTCTTGTCATATCAGCGCAAATGCACATAAAATACGTACGCATTCAGCGTTACAACAATCGATTGCCGCACGTATCACTTTTAAAGATGAATGCGTACTTGCGTAGCAGTTATGTTAGTCCCTACTTTATATATATATAAAAATAAATGTATGTATATTTATGCCATGAACTTATGGAACCGATTACGTACGTACAGCTTCTGCTGTGTGTTTGCAATGTGCTTATATGTTAGTACATATAATGGAGGGAAGCAAATAAAACCAGCACTCTTTGGATTGTAAACGTTCTGTATTCTAAAAGACTTCTGCATCAATTAAATACAGTTGACTGATATCTTATAAATTACAGTTCTGTACATTATAATATAGTAAACACTATTTTGCGATAGGGCAGTGTTTCCCCAACATGGTTCTCGGAGGCCCATTGACGGGACACGTTTTCGCTCCCTGCCAGAGTCTCCACATGGACTGTCTGTGCATCTCTGAGGACCTGATTGGGAAACACTGCCATAGGGCTTATTTACAAGTCCTCACCCAGCAAAGCAGTTTCTCTCTCTTATTTAAAGGTACAGGGCATTTCCCTTCAAACTACTTGTTAAACGCTACACCAAGCCAACCAATCATTCTTCTGCATTCTCAGTTCCACATGTCTTTACACTAAAATAATTCATCCAAAAATATTAGTTTTAAGCAGAGTGCAGAAGATTTTACATAGTTCTGAATATAAAACAGGCACACACACACACCCATTCATGTGGACATTATAAACATTTCCCGATACTGCTCTTCTCCAACAGACATAATTGCCAAAATCCCACAACTATAAATTTATAGACATGAGTACCTTTATGACATCATGATGACATCATAGTTTGTCACTCGGTAGCAGCTGAATGGCATTTCAGCCACAGCACCTCACCACCTCACCTTTGACACGTATGATGGACATGGCCCACATATGGTTGAGTGTGGCTTCAGGGAACATCCATGCAACAATCAAGAACCCCTCGTGTTTCCGTAGCGACGGGGCTGTAAGGCAACGAAGCCATCAGACTAAATCAGCCATCTCAAGTTTGGTGTGTAATGATCCAGGGGGATAAGACGAAAACCAGATTTGGTGAGAACTCTTCAGGCGCATTCATTAGTGACCGGCCACACAGTGGTCAGCTGGATCTAAGAGCTTCATCACTGAAGCTGGATCAGAAGTTATGATTTGAACTTGTGTGTGTGTGTGTGTGTGTGTGTGTGTGTGTGTTTATACACAGATACTGGACAATGCCTCGCACACAACCACGCAAACTTTGTCATCAATGGGACAGCAGATATGAGACATCAGGTCTTTGGTGATTCATACAACTTTCAAAGACTCGGGCTACCAGCAATGACAGGCAAACAGCAGCACGTTCCATTTGCTCAGGAAGTATCGCCTCCCCCTCAAAGGATGTTGTGTTTCTGACTCAAAATCTCTCGCAGGAAGCTGTAACACTTGTGTCAAAGAAAAAAGAAAAGAAAAAAAAAAACTGTGGAAGCCCTCGTCAGTCTGTGTGTAGCTCTCAGTGTACAACTGAGCATGTGTCAAAGATTAAAATAAAAAAACCGCTGCATCCTATTTAACATATTCAAACAAACAGATTTACTTGAATACATTTTTATAAAATTAAGATCTGTTTAAAAAAATTAAAAGAAAAAGAAAAAACACATTGAGTAGATATATCATGTGACTCGACTACACTGGAGTGCAAAATGGCGGTGGGGATGCGAATGACGCCGGAACACTGCTGTTCAGCTATTCCAGGACGTGCGGCGGTTCTGAGCTCCTTCTCGAAAGCCCCGCCGGCCCCCTGTCCTTTGCTCTGCTCGCCGGGTGGGGAGGGTGGCACTGCGGTGCTTTTCGCGGGGCCTGGGTGAGCGGGAGGCCGCGCCGCCGTCCCCGTCACACGTGGAAGGGGAGTCGCGGGACAGGCGGGAGGGCTTGACGAAGACGCCGCGGCCAGCCGGGCAGCGGAAGTACGCCCGGCCCTGCACCGTGCCGTTGTGCTTGCCTGGGGACAGGGAGAGAGGAGGGGTCACTGTGCGCCATCACTGACACGACCTCAGTTTACCATTTAGCAGTGGGGTGTGGAGTCGTGGCTACCAGCCTTACAGAGCTTTAAATCTGTAATAAAGCTTATTTTCGAACTTTAATCTATTAGTGTGGATGTGTCTTCCGTTCTATATACACTTAAAAAAGACAGACGTATCAGATGTATTTAATCAAGATCCTGAGCGGCGGCTGCATAGGGACTCGGATCACATGATAACGATCACATGACCACTCACCAGCAGGGAGGTCCAGCTCCACGCCCACCCAGATGCCTGGGGCAAACTCCACCCCGCCCACATAGTGCACTATGCCGCTCTTTTTGCCCACCCACACCGGCTCCCCGGGGGCCATCCAGTCCGGGAGCTGGGTGGCCGGCAAGCCTTCGTCCCCGCTGGACCACGCCGCCGCCCGGCCAGGCTCGTCCGCAAACGGGTCGGCCCCGACGTGGCACGTGGGAGAGGCCGGGCGCACGCGAGTCTCCTTGCCGTTGTGCAGCTGCCGCTGCACCGCGGTCCCGGCGGCGTGGTGCCCGGAGCTCCCGCCTGCTGCGGACTGCCAGCTGTCCATGGCTGCACCCTCTTCAGCGCCCTGGAAGTCCGTGAACTCCTGGCTGATGCTGAGACTGCACTCCCCGGGAATGTCTGGGGGGCCACCTGTGCTGGTGGGGGACGGGAGAGGCGGGGCGGCTGAGGGGCGCTGGCTGTGGGGTGGGGGCGTGTGGCCAGTGCTCAGCCAGTCTCCCCCCGAGGCACTTTTGGTGTGGAGTGATGCGCGCTCGTCCTGCAGGTCACGCCCGGGTCCGCTCAGCTGGTCCAGGCTGTCACTGGCGGTGAAGGCGGCGGCGTCGGACAGCGTCACATTGGAGCCGCTGTGGGAGAAGTAGCCGCTGGTGCAGCTGCTGACCGTGGGGCTCCGCGACACCGCTTTCTCACAGCCTGCCACCCCGGCCCCACCACCAGGGGGCGCTGCCACAGACGAGCCCTCCAGGCTGGCGTTGTACACATCGAAGTCTGCAAAGCTCTCCGGCACGTAGGGCTGGAATCGCTGGAACTCTGGCAAGCAGAAATCCACTCCCAGGCGGGCCGGGTGACCAGAGGGCGTGTCCCCGTCAGTCTCCTCCTCGGAATCCTGGCTCACATAGGGGCGACGGGGCACGAGACAACATAAAGCAGGGGGCACATTAGCTAACAGGGACGCCATGTTGTCACGGGCACAATGGCGCGAGATCAGCTCATACCATCACAGACTGGGGGGGGTAGGGTCACATTTAGGTGCTGGATTTGTATCCCTGGGATACTGACTCTGTCCTCTAAGGAAAACTGACCTTCTGTTTAATGTGAATTATTAAGTTGGAAGGAAATTACTCACTTTTGTGTGTGATAATTACATGCCATTGTACCTACATTCTTGGTTCTTGCCAGCATATTTGCAGGGTTTCACATTCATGGCATAAATGGCCTATGAACTGATGCCAAAACGCAGAATAATTTGTCTAAAATGGTTTTTAGACACTCAGGAAGTGACCTGGCTGGTCAACGGTCAACTGCAAGATACACATCAGCGCCCCCAGCGGGTGGAACGAGGTAGAGACGCGGTGTCAACAGTAAGAGGTGGCGAATGAGTGTGGACAGGACTGACACTGGCGTGGGGTGTGTGAAATCAGGCGGGGGGGGGGGGGGGCAGGGTGGGGGAGGCAGCTCAGGCAGATCCAATTGAAATTAATTCTCTAAATAACCCACAGGTGTAACTGTGCTGGGAAGTACCTCTTCTCATTATGCAAAAATGTGTTACAGCCAGTCCTCAGGCTAAGAACATTTTAAATAAAAAATCTGACTTAAATACAATGATTCGTAATAATGAACTCACGCACTACTTTGTGAAACAGCGGTATAATAATTATTATTATGTACTGTATTATTTTTCTGACTTATCCACAAATTCAAACAAAGACTTGCAACGGATCTTGATCGTAACCTGGGACTGCCTGTAATCCATTCAAGCCAACCTTAAATGTTTATATTCTAACACCCATTTTAAATATTTGCTACCATGCAGGAGGTCTGGGGAGGAATGGCTGTGTTGTAATTACAGTGCCCCGGCAGTAGGGGGCAGTGTAAATCAGTTGGAACTTACAGTGGTGTGTTGGTGTGTGTTACTGAGACTGAGCTGCCTGCTGCTGCGGCCCTCACTCTCCGCCCTGGGCCGTCGCCGGGGGCAGTGAGGGACCGGCGCAGCGCTTTCCACGAGACGGCGCATGCTCTGCAACTGGGTCAAGACAACAAGAACAGCAGATGTGACACGGATGGGCGACGGCAGGGGAGGTTAACAGGATTAAAAAAACGGCACATACATGGTGTGGAGTTCATGCGGTCAATGGCGCGTGACGCATGCACACAGTCACATCCTTAACGGAGAGTAAAGAGGTACAAACAGCGGCCAGTTAAACATGGCAATACGGCACGGGTGCTCTTATCACTGTATTTAACAGGCTTTCCCTGCTTGCTCCTTGACAGTTTGTATGTTTCTGGTTAATATTTTCATGCCAGTGCAGCGCCAATCATGCGGGCCGAGCACAGCTCAGAGGCGCCCAGCAATGGGTGTGTCTCCAAACCTGATCATGACATCATCTACAAAGCCTGGTCAGTCAGGTTAGCATTGAGGGGATGGTGGTGCTGATGGAGAACCGTCACTGGGCAGTGAGGGGACATCTGAGCCTGTTAAAGCCTGGGCAAATACGTATGTATGTGTGCTGGAGGGACAGAGGGTGGGGGAGTGGATAAACCAGGGGACGGGGGGTGCGTTTGGTACCTCCTGGCCTAACAGCGGCCGGGCCTCCAGTGACTTCTTGGCCTTATTCTCTTCCTTCAGAGGCATCAAGGCCTTGAGGAATTTGGGCGGCTGGGAGGAGAGGGCCTTGAAGGGGCTGGAGGGAAGCGTGGGGCTCTCCGGGACTGAGCCTGCGGGTGCAGCGATGCCAGCGTCACACCATAAACAAGCCTCTCGCGGGAGCACAGACTGCCGTAGACCACACGGCCATAGAAGCATGGCATCTCAGCACCGTGAACCACATCACGTACCACCACGGAGGCCTGGACATACTCTTCCTCGCACACAATCCGCACACGGAGCTGCTCATGCTTTTGCAGCCACGCCCACACAATTCGCACATGTGCAGAAGGCGTGGGAGAACGAAAGGACAATATTGTTGAGGAATTGGAAAGGCTGGCTCTCACTTTATGCTAATTAACATCAGCCACTTCACAACAGGCAAATATACCGCAGGCAGCATTCAATTAGAGACAAACGTGCAGCATTGAACTCAATTGGACACAATTTAGTTTTTAAGTTACGGTAAAGCACCATGGTAAAAGATGGCAACACAAAGACGACTTCCGAGCGATTACATTTTAAAATAAAACAGCATTAGAATTAGTTTGACACAGTTATACTATGTGTTAATACTCTTGGGTTTCAAATAAACCGAAATATACCATCTATTTAAACAGCCGGTAAACAGATATCAGAATTATAAAATATAAATGTCAAAAAATAAATAAATAAACAATTCTCAACTGTAAAGGTATCTGAAACAGTTATACAGATTGAATCATCTATTACAAAAGAACAAATACTCCCATAACTACAACAAAGTCTGGCTCAGGTACATTTCCTACTGCACTTTATGATTTGCTTGGTGGATTTCAGATTTTACTTTGGATTTCAACTTTTGAGTCCTTATAACTCAAATATGCCAGTGAACAGTGAACTTCTTCACATATTGAAGATGTTCTTGAAACGGGTCCATGTTGGTTGTGTCTTTGTGACTGTATCCAACACATGCAGTGGTTGAGGACCAGCGGGACACGAAACCGGCTGCGCAGACACAAAAGTTTGAGATGCTGAAGCGTTCCCCAGCAGCCACTACGTCATTCGCATCGTGTTTGCAGATACAGAGTGTATGGACAGGCCTCAAGACCACCAAAACCATGACTGTAAGACCACTGCAAATCAAATGCCTACACCATCCTCTTCAATTCATAAAACTCATAACCATAAACAAAGAGCTGCAGCTGACTGGAGAGCGAAATGGGATTGAATCCTGAGCCGCTGGGACAGAGCTGGCATCACACAGTCGCGGAGAACATTCTGCCAGTAGGCTGGCACCTACCTTGGTTGTCCTTGCTCTTCAGGGGTGATTCCTTGGTGCCAGTCCCGCAGAGTGCCCCTTCCTGCAGACATGTGTCTGGAAAGTCCAGCTGGCTCTCGCAGCGTCCCTGTGGGCCGGCGGCAGACGAAGATGCTGTGAACTTTAGCCGTACCGCGCAGCGCACCTGAATGAGATGGGTTCACTCACCAAGGAGGCAATACCTTGAAATCCTCATCGTCGCAGGCGGTCAGGTCGATCCTGCTGGACGAGGCCTGAAAGGGCGACATGTGCGGTCAGTAAACATTTCCTGACCTATGCCAACTACAACCACAACGGCCTTGGCGCAGCTCTGCTCAGGCAGGACCCCCGGGTTGTGAATGCGGGCCTGGGCAGTAGCCACTGGGGCCTCTTACGTTCTGGACGTTGGGTGTGCTGACGCTGCGCCGCATGTGTCTGCCTTTGGCTGCCAGGGCCTCCTTCACGGTGACAGCCTGCGGACAGAAAGGGTTCAGTGCCCACGGGAAAGGCTCTGACAGGCTGGGTGCTACGTTACTGAAACTCACTGTGTCCTCAGGGGACACAACCTATACACGTCTTTGGGGACAAAAATGACATAAATCTCTGTATGTCTGATTACCAACACTGCATATACTTATTTTATTCTGACACTTTTATCTAAGCGATGTGAATTATTATTATTATTATTATTATTTTGTGGAAGCAGAGTCAGACAGTCCCTTGGGCATTTGATGTTCCTCAGGGGCCTAACCAGTGACATCAGTTTCGGGACCCTGGGATTTGAACCAGCAACCTTCTGATCAGAGGCATAGTGCCCTAACCTCCAAAGACACAGACCGCCACTAACAGGATAACGAAGTATATAGTGCTTATTAAGATACCCTGAAGCCCCTAAATAAGCCCCTAAATAAGTCTTATTTACTGTCCATTAAGGAGTGTAGTCTGTGTGTGTGTCTGTGTGGAGCTGTGTGTGTGTGTGTGTCTGTGTGTGTGTGTGTGTGTGTGTGTGAGCCCACCTGCCGCAGCCTCTCCAGACTCAGGATGTTCTCCACCTCCAAGACCCCTCGTGTATATTTCTCGATGTACGTCTCCCCGTCCTGCGCTCCCTCCGCCTCGCCGCGCGCCGCCATCAAGGCCAGCGTCTCCCTCTCCTCCGGCTCCTCTGATGCCTGGCCAGGAGCAGGGAGTTAGAGGAGGTGAGGGGGGTACAGATGGAGAGATAGAAGCAGAAACATAAAAAGACAGGGGGCGCTGTTGTGCGGATGGCACCTTTGGTATGTTGGAGACGATCTCGTAGGTCACGCCGCAGGAATACAGCACGTTCTTCAGCGACATGCGCCTCTTCAGGCTCTGGGTGAAGCTCTGCTTGTTGTAGATGTTGACCGCGATCCTCTTGCGCAGCACCAGCTCCACTGAGGCCGGGTGGCTGAGCTGCACCGTCGCCTTGACGATCAGGTAGATGCGCTCGTTGGGCGAAGTGACGCGGTTCAGGTGGACAGAGTCATGGATGGACGAGTCCCAGGAGCAGACAGCAGATACCTGGGGGAGGCCCCACACAACAGTGATGTCACTGCCCGGTTCAACCAATAGGAACCAATGACATCACCAATGACAAACCAACCAACAGCAGCGCAGTTACAGGACACTGGCTAGGGTTTCAAAGCTTCATTTACCACTTGTTGATAAATTTATGCTGTATGTCTGTCATTCTGTTAAATGTAAATTTACTAAATCTGTAATAAAAAATGCAGAGCGGCCGTGTCACATTTCTGCCTGAAGGTGGCAGCACAGAATCATGGCACATTACCTCGTCGTCGCTGTGCCGGATAATTGGGAGGTAGAAGAAAGGGCTGCCATGCTCTTTGGGCAGGATGGAGTTCACCCCAGCAGTGGGGGGGCCACTCAGCTGACCATTCACCGTCAGATCGCCTGCTGGGGAGGGGGGTGGGTCGGGGCAGAGAGAAAAAGACAGGCATGCTGAAACAGAGTGCGGTGTTGCGGGAAGCGTGACTCACCAACAGGAACGGAGACGGATTTCGTCACCAAGGTAACCAGGCATCTTACCGTTGAGGTCCAGGAAGAGTACAGGAATGTGTGGCTCCATCCCGGCACAGGGTGTCCTGTGTCGGAAACAAACCATCATCACAGAACAACAAATGACTGCGAGGGGCGAACTGAACCGGCCTTCTACTGAAAGGTGTATCTCAAACATATAATAAACACCGAGCATGTGGAGTTCACCATTCTTCCACTAGAGGGCACCACAAGATGTAACAGCAGGGACACTGGTCTTTAAAGTCTGAAAAGAGTGACTGTGAGGGTATTAAATGGTATCACAGTCAGTATGCTCACAGGCACACTAAGAAAATGTAATTATTGTGTTAGTCCGACTAAAACCACACTTGTAAAGTACATGTAAATATGTTATTTTGACTGAAATCGTACAAAATTGAATTTCTGGAAGTCAGACTAAGACACCCAGACAATGTGATTGGGAGTCGATTTACTTCTGCATGTAGACGTTCAATCGGACTCAAACTGGCCTAGGCACTCTGCGCATGCTCCACAGTCACCCCCCCTCCAAGTTTTGCAATTGTAATGATTATTCCTTTTCAAGATTATCTAGTACGTTTAAGAATCAGTTTAAATTTTCCCTCCGTTGCTTTTTGCATGAGTGCTGCTCTCAGAGACAATCATAATGATTTTCATCCTTGTAGTTTAAATCACTCTTAGATGGATTTGTGAGAAATTTGTGTTGAACTCTTTTGGTTTCATAAATACCCCAATATTTATTACAGCAAAATCACATTATAATATTTGAAACATTTCTGACACCGTGCTGCCATGGTATATTACGCAAATCACTTCACTTCTTGTCATACCACCCAAATGTAACCCCTACTCTTGTCAGGACCGGGTCCCCATGTGCAGTCCGATATGCCTGGGGGGGGGGGGGCACCTGGGAGACCCACCAGTGCGCCGGGGCTCCGGGGATGCCACTGCCAGGGGCTGGCACCAGCACGGCATTCCTCTCCTCCGTCAGCCCCACCCACTGCTCCACCAGCCGCGCCTCCCGCTCAATGTCCTCCTCTGATTTCTCTGGGGGGGGTGTTAGGGGTCATAGCAGGGAGGGAAAGAGAGAGGGCGGCAGGAGTGAGACAATGCTCAGGAAACAGTGTAGAAAACATACAACTGGCTGTCATGTGGCTTGCTGGACTGTATATAGCGCCTTTCCCTAAACACCATCATGCCCCCGATGTAAAATCAGTGGCCTGTACTACGAAGCGGGGTTTCTGGCTTATCGGGGTAACTTGTCAGATTTAAGGTACCACAGTTTAAATGGATTTCATATTCGTTCACTTACATTTAAAACTTACTGCAAAACTGTGGGTGGGGTTACTGCCCGCTGTCAATCACAACCCAAGTTAACCAATCAAGGGCCACTTTCAATCACAACCCAAATAAACCAATCAAGGGGCCCGAGACAGTAAGGGCCAGCATGGACAAGGCCCCTGCACTGACCGTGCTTGTTGATGATCCTCTTGATCTGGTCATCCAGGTACTCCCTGCGCTTGATGAGGGCCTCCGACCAGCGCTCACGCACACAGTTCAGGTCCTCCTCCTGGGGGGGGGGGGGGGCGCCGGGATGAGTCAGAACAGGGGCAATGGCGGGAGAGAGGCCGCGGCCAGGGGCAACAGCTAGGGGCTGCAGAGAGCCTGCCGGGCATTGGGGGGGGGGACGCCCACAGGCTCAGTCACACGACGGTGTCAGGTCACTGCCCTCCGGGGGGGGTCACTCTCAGACCCACATTAAAGTGTAAGCCTTTCTTTACTGGCCGCAAAGTTCTGGAAGTAGCTTCTCAACTACAGTGACCCTGAGTCACTCCCCTGAGTCACTCCCCTGAGTCACTTTCTCCTCATTAGGCAAAGTGAGTCACGGGAGGGGGGGGGGGTTGCCTGTGATTGGACAGGGGCCAGCTGCTAACACTCCAGCCGTAAGTGATCGGGTGAAAGTGCCTGTGCGGGAGGGACGAGCTCGGGGCAAACAAACAGATTCCCTTTGCATTGTGTGCTGTCTGTACTCCCCCCCGCCCCCCCGTGAACTCGCCCATGCAAATGAGTCATGCAGCCATGCACTGATCATGTGACCCACAAAGGGGCTTTATTCCCAGAGCTGTTTGTCGGCAGGAAGCAGGCGACCGGTTAGTGAATGAATCCAAAGAGGAGACTGAGGAGCGACGGACTCCTTTGGACCAGTGAGGCTTGGGGAGGGGGAGGTGAAATGTAAAAAAGAAAAAAAAAAGAAAAAAACTCTTTGCTTCCTGTTAATGAAAAAAAGTCACTAACTTTACGACTTGAACACCCAGAAAACCGATCACTTAAACCAGCGTGAGGAATCCTACAGTAGAACTATCTGTGGGCCGGGATCCATCAGAACCAAAACGGGACGGATCCGATTCAGAGAAAAATCGGGGTTTGGTGATGCTCTGAGATCCACATGTTGCAATGTGACATGAAATCCATCCCCTTAGGACACACGACCACTGTAGTGAGTAGGAGCAAGCGTGAAGTGTTAAACTGAAGCTGTTATTTCCACACCCCCCCCCTCCCCGTCCGCTGGCCCCCCCCCCCCCCCCCCCCCCCGGTGGGGCCCCCCCCCCCCCCCCCCCCCGTTTGAATGCACATGATCAGCAGCGAGTTCCCATCATGCTCCCGCGGCTTTGACGGCAGCAGCAGCGGACCGAGCCAGTACCTGGTAACTATCCATATCGATATCCTCCTCCTTCTGAAGAGAGAACAAGACCGGGGTTCAGAGGCAAAGGATGATGGTGTGGATATACGCGTCTGCATCGCCCTGGGCGCCAACTCTGCGGCTGGCTATCACTCAGCCCTGCGCTACGCTGCACGCACAACCTCAGCAACGGCGCATGACCGTGCCACAGGTTTATTCTCGAAGCTCCCCTCCCATGCCAAGGGGCACAAAAAGGACAGGGTTCGAACCACATTGTGCCCTGCGGCACACAAATTGAACAGACTTTTTCTGGAAGATTCTCCCTGCCTGCGATAACTCAGTGAAGCAAACTGCACCACAAATATGAATAACGGCCTTCTTTGTAATAAAAACATGCCTTTTCTACTGCTCATGGTGGTGTTTAATGCTGTTTGTATTTAGACTATCGCCACTGTGTAACAAAAAGTGTCATGTTTTTTCTCTCCAGTCTGGGGAGGGGGGGTGATACCTTTGTTTATACATCACAGTCTCAAAACAGCATGCCTCCGTATGGTCACACGGCCCCCTCGCTCTGGACAGGTGATGCGGCACAGAGGGGTTTTGAACCCATGCTGCCACTACGAGGAGCTTCAGTTCTCAAAATGGCCCAGTAGGTGGAGTAGTGGTTAAGGACCTTGCCTCATAAAGGGTGCTGGTCTCATGGGAGCAGTCTTTAGCAGGGCGCTAAACCTGAATTACACCTTGAATAATCCCACTGAATGATGAGAGTAGCCTGGGAAAAAGGATCTTCTTAAGGACTTAAACTCAAAAGGTAACACAATAGCCATTTCACACACGACTTGTATGGGCTTGCAGCACTGAGTCAATTGTTTGCTGTTTTCTTTTGAACACAAATGACTTTCTTTAAGTGTTTTGGTAACTAAGGATTCCAGAAAGGTTTGGAAAGGTTGATAATGACCATGCTATTTTAATTATTGCTGTCAATATAATATAACTCTGTGCTGTTCAAGTTCAGTGATATTTCTAGTGCAAGTTAAACATTCTGCTTAGTTTTCATTTATTTCCCTTGGATGTAATCTTGTGAATGTTAGCATGGTCTATCATGCCGATTCATATTGGCAAAGAAAACATTTCTGTTTTCTAAATAAATACCAAGCAGCTATAACAGCAATATTAATGTTCCTCTGACTTTTAGGAACATTCTGAATGAGATGTGGAATTCTCATTGAAGGACAGGCCCCCCAGCCAATGAGAATTATGAGGGAAGCATTCGGTAGCCAATGGAATTCCTCTTAATGCGGAGTTCAGTAAGAAGTAGTACTTAGCAACCAAATGGAGTGCGTGCGTCAGATTGGACAGGAGGCCGTGGCTGGGCGGGACCTCGTTCCTCACCTGGTAGCTGTCCAGAGGTCTCTGCAGTTTGGTGGAGCGGACAGATACGCAGCCGATGGAGATGGATAGGATGGCCTCCACCAGCAGGGGCAGAGTGCCGGACTGGTGCACCGGCTTCACGCTGACCTGAAGCCTCCGAGAGTGACCCTGGTCATAGGGACACACACCCCCAATGACACAGCCGTAGGTGGCACCTGAACACCTCCAGGACCCCAGAGATGCCACAGACCTGTCTGAGCTGGAAGACGCCCCCAGTGCTGAGGTCCTTGGAGGGGTACAGCTCCACGGCAGCGTACTCGCCCTGCTCGTTCAGCTCCTGGATGGACGCCCAGAGCTCTATGCGGCGGGAAACCTCACTCCACCTGCGTGGGGGTAGCGTTCGGGTTCGGGTTCGGGTTCGGGTGCATGAGGGAAAGAGCATGCAGGCAGTCCCCAGGTTACGAAGGAGACCCGATCCCCAAGCCTGTGTTTAAGTCGGAAAAATAATAGCGCCAAACCTGACAATAACAGAGTAAGTACATAGGGTACTGCACTGCACTCCAACTGCTGAAGCTGCGCAACGTTTTCACGAGCGTCACAAAGTACTATGTGCGTTCGTTATTACAAACCAGTGTACTTAACCCGAATTTTCAATATAACAGGCTTTATGGCAGTCTGCTCGTAAGTATGAGTTGTCCGTAAGGTGGACGTTCGTAACCCGGGGACTGCCTCACTAACCATGTGTACGTGTGAAAGGCTGTTGTGCACAAGTAGCATAAACCAAGCATGCAAACAGAATCCGGCTGCACTGGACAGGGGTTTAAAGGGGCAGCTGCGTGCATTCAGGGTCTTATACAGGGACCTATTAGTAAAGTGCCTTTGTGGTGCCCTGCGCTGCTTTTACAGGATTTAATTGGTTCTGAAGTGGTTCAGGTTGCTGTTTAAATGGGCCACAGCCCTGTGAGTGTGAGGGCGCATACCGGTCTCTGAGGGTCCTGCTCTTGGCCTGCAGAGCATCCACCTCGAACTGGGAACGGCCGTTTCCGGCACAGCGGTGGCCCCACACCTCGATGGCCAGGGCGCCCTCCGAGATGAACTCCAGGAACTCCTCCGTCACGTGAACGATGTAATCCTGGGGGAGGGGGGGAGAAGGACGCAGAGAGGGGCACTCATGCTGCTGCGTCCCGAGGCACACCGACCGCGTGAAAGGTCAAAGGTCGCACACCCCATCCATCCCCCAAACAGGCCACACCACTAACCGTGCAGTGGTCGAAGCGAACGGTGAACTGGGAGTCTGGCGTGCGGGGAGTGGGCATGTCTGGGCTGACCATGGGCGGGGCCACAGTGGGCTCCGCCTGCTCCCAGAAGGTGTACTGACAGAAGACGAAGTTGGACAGGTCAAGAGGGAGCCCAGTAGCTTCTTTAATCCGCACCTTGGGGGGGGGACACACACAAGGTGGTTGTGGGACTGTAGACAGTGAGGTGCCATTGGTGTGACGGTATGCGCGTGGCTGCGCAGCCGGCCGTACCCTGCAGGTCAGCTTCCTGGCCATGTGCACCACCTCCCCGTTGCTGTCCATGACCTCGTAGCTGCCGCTCTCACTGGAGTTCTCCGACGAGTCGTCCCCCCCAGACAGACGCTCCGGAACGGTGCCGCTGACCCGCATCAGTTCCACGTGCAGACGGCCCGCAACCTGGGCGACATGCCGGTCACCATACGCGGCACAAAGCAGACACGCATACGCAGATGCATATGGAGCTGTCCCACAGACACAGCAGACACGCATA